GTGTAAGGTGTGCGGTAAAGGATTCAGCCAAAGCTCCAACCTCATCACCCACAGCCGAAAGCACAGCAGCTATCGGCCGTTCAGCTGCCCCCGTTGTCAGCTCAGCTTCCAGCGCAGGGTTGATCTACAGCGCCACCAAGAGACGCAGTGTGGTTACGGGGACATGTACACTCAAACCTGAGCCCATGAAGCAAAGAAAGTAAAAGTGGGCAGGGTGACATCTGTTGTAAATGTAAAAGTCTGAAAAATATGCTTTTAGTAATAACATGCTTAGAAGGGAATAAAGGCAGACTGGTTAGCTTGAAGAACTCTACAGGGACATCTTTGATTAAAACTCCCAAAAGTCATTCACAAATGATGATAAGGTTATTTTCTAAAGATTTTTTGCAAAGCAAACGTGTTCCGAAGGTAATGAGATGTTATTTCCATTGCAATATACGTGCGCCTGTGCGTGATTGTCCCATTACTGACTGAAGAGCATGCTTAATGTCCTGCTGCTGGGTCATGACACAGATGACTCACAGTGATCACTCACAGGATTCCCCTTGACTACTGCATGCACATGAAGTCTAGTTTGAATTTGCTTTATAAAAATAAAATAAAAACACTTTGTTACCATTTCAACAGCACATTTGGTAAAAGTGTTTAAAGTTGCAATATTGTTACATTAAAGTGGTCAGTCGCTTAAAAAAGAACAAAAGACATCCTTCCTGTTTTGGTATATCAGCCGCAGAGTTGTGTGCCTTATCTTTAAGCTAATTGAAGTAATTGGTGTCTTGCAGTTTAAAGCAGCAGCAATGGCTAATTGAGAAGAAAAACCAACAAAAATCACACAGGAACTGTTTTCTTTCTACACCAACCAGCCATCTATCTTAGCAAGTAGCTCCAAGACAGGCCGTGCTTATGTGAGCACATGTGTATTAAAGTGTACTGAAGATCTACCCAGAGTTCAAGTTTAAGAATGATCACATCCCACCCAGATGTCAGCAGGTTCAGCAGTTTAGTTACAAATATGAGACACATATTTGTAACACAGGCTGCTGGGCTGAATTGCAAATGTGCGTTTTCATATCAAAATGTCAATGTTTCTATGCAGCTGCTTTCCTGTGATGTTGTGCTTTAAACTATGACCATAAGACATGAAAGGAGGCTTCCATCATTAAAACCATTTTCTTTATCACATGAAACGAGAGCTGCTGAGTCTTTAAGCTCGGAGTCTGTCCCTACACAGCTCCTGTCCATGTCAGTCTTCCGTTAATCACGTATTATTTTTTTAAATGTATCAAATCGGACAATAATAAATATCAAAGTAGACTGAGAGCTTAAGTCCCCTGTAATTAAATGTAATTTCAGTGTATTTTATTTAAAACTACAATCTAATTATATTTAGCTACAAAAGCTTAAAGGCAGTGACACTGGTATAAGGTGGTAAAAAGTTTATTATACTGTAAGTAAATTTAAGTAAGTTTAAGCAGATGTAAATATTGTGAATGAATTCTGGATAGCGAGCAATTTCATGGTAATTTTGGGAAAAATAAGCAATATTTTCCAATCTTAAAATATGCTGTCCTTTTCAAGGCTTGGGCCATATTATGGAGTTATTATGTTCTTTACATCTTTATTTCATATTCATTATGTTGATGTGGATGATGGATTAATTATTATTAATTATTAATTATCCAACTGTCCTTTTATTTTACCACTATAAATGTGACAAGGACTGATCTGCCTTTCCAACTTACCAAAAATACAGTTGAAATTTGCAGGCTTATATGATCCTGTAACGATAAAACCAAGAGCCAAGTCTAACTTTTTTCACTATGACTGTTTAAACATAACTTTGAAAATGAGTGTTTGCTTTCCTGTCAAACACTGGAAAATTAGGCAAAGTTAAACCGCCCCCTAATTCAGCCTGTGTCCCAAAAAGGAAAGCGTACAATGGAAGATACTTTTCAAGAAAAGGATCAAGATATTACACAGTGCTTAAAACTACTTCGATGTCATTTCTGTCTCCTTCGCTGTAAAGTTCCAAGAATTTGGTCCACTTTAAATGAGTTACAGTATCATTATTGCTTTGTTTCCTGTAAAAACCTGACTTGTTACCCCCTTATTCTAGTGTGCCTACCTTTAAGAATCAGTAGGTTAATACACTGAATTATTATAATTTCAAATAAAATACATCAAGATTCCATTTAATGAAAGGGAAAATCCACCCTTAATTTACTGACTGTATTATAAAGTGTTACCAATTAGACTTTTTCCAATAAGTGCAATACTGTTAAGTTACTGCGTTCCATTTTCCCCTGCTGCTTGATAGTGTCATCCTCTGCGTGTGCAGATGGTATTGGAGAGAGGACAGGACGGATGGGACTTAACAGTGAGATGTTTATTTAGGATGGGTGAAAAACCAAACAAGAATACAAAACAAAAGGCAAAAGGAGACTCAGACTAACTAAACTGGGCAAAAGTAAACACTAGGAACACAGAACATGGAACCTGAAACATGGAGGGAGGTGAACTGACGTCCCGGCGAGGGACAAAGAGGAACTGACACAGTGAGGGTGATTAGGGAAAGCGGCGGCACGTGGGAACACAGGAGGGACAAATTAGGAATAACAAGACAGAGGAAACCAAACTGAACACAAACATGAGACGAGGGACTGCCAAAACAGGAAGTAGCACGCCCACCAAGGGGATAAAAAAAATGGAAACACACGACAGACTGGGGGAGACAAAGGATGAAACACAGGGAGAAGAACGTGGAGAGCACAGAGTCAGGCCGTGAGAGACAGGGCGAGAGACATGACAGATGGGAGGGGACACCAAGCAACAAACCACAGACACCAGATCATGGGAGCGGGAACATAAACCCATAACCCTAAAGTAACCCTAAAGACCTCGAATAATATAGCAGGGAAATGACCAAACTCTACCATTTCTAGTCACAAGAACTAAACAAGAAAACCAACTTAATAAAATCACAAAATACATTTAACAAGATTCAAAAGGTCCAAAACACAGAACACAACAAATCGATCATTTCTTGAACTGAAACATCAAAAATGGAGAAACAAGTCTGGTCTTTTTTGCACGGTAACTGCCACAGTCTGAACCCCTGAGCAAGGCACAGAGATACATTTCACACCCAGATGCTGTCTACATCTCTTTGATGACTGCAGGATGTAAACATCAATGGCTCCGTCTCCGGTTGAGCTGCGAAACAGCCCAGCAGCACTTCTCAGTTTTCAAAGACAAAATTAAGGTTACTGCACCTTTCAAAATAAATCAGCACAATTGTGTGAAAGGTGTTACTTTTGTTACTTCAAACCCAAAGATAACAATCAGCCACGGCATGTTTCCCTTAAGCTTTACTAAGCATGTTTTGTCTATGACTTTGACGTTATGGTTATGCTGTTGAGATGGTTACATTTTTTTGAGACACGAGAGAGAAAGATTGAGACAGATTTTAGCTTTAATACGTTTTATGTTTCCCACATACACAAAAGATTTCGCACACAGATAAACTCAGTTTTAACATCCAGCTGATTCACAACATAAATAGTGAAAACAAGTGTAAAAAGCTGACTGTTCAGACAGGCACACTGTGACCTCATCTTTGACCTCGCGTTCGCTCTGTACGGGCAAAAAAAATAACGTGGTTTCAGAGTGACTCGCTCGACCATGTTTAGGTTCTGTCAGATTCATATATGTGCCTCCACATGTGATGATTCGCTGCTGCTTTTGAAATGACTCTGCATCGAATGGTTGACAACACCACATAAGACAAAGAAGCTCCTTTTCACTTTGAGTCAAAACTCTTGACTCTTCGCTGCGATGAATAAGCGGCGCTGTATTCACTTTAGCATATACAGTATCAGTCTCTTACATTTCGGATGCACGGCAACGAGCCGTACTCGTGAGGAGAAATGCCCACACATGCACGCACACACACACACAAAGAGAGAGACAAGGCAGCTGCACACACAGAAGTTGTTGAAACCTCTGTCCCAGTTCTCTGTTCTCAGATTTGCAGGAGGAAATCCTGAGAAAGAGATAAAAGAATAACACTGTTCAGACCTATCGGGCATATCAAAGTTGAAATCTGCAGGTGCTCGACATAATGCTGATATATTTTCTGGAAACGACGGCGCTTCTAACCACAACAGTTTATTTTAAATGCACAGCTTTGACATTAGGTCTTTGCAGCCCAGCTGGAGTAAGACGTACAGTTCAACGGCACGGCGGTAGATCCACACTTCTTTAAGTGAAACATAGTTAGAGTTTATAAGCTACCAAATGCCACTGTCGCTTTCACTTTAATGGTGGTTCAGTCATCACCCTAAAATAACAAGTGGTCTTATTAAAGTGGTGAAGTATATCCATGAAATTGTATTTTTGCACTAACAAGCTCATTCCCAAAAAGGTATCAGACAAATACTTGGGATTTCTCAGTATGGTTTGCAGTGTGTCCTCAAAAAAATTGAGGAAACTGGACAAGTCGAACGCAGCCACAGCCATCTGTAAAACACGGCGGAGGCTCTGTCGTGGCTGGAGGTGCATTTAAGCCAGATGTGTGGAGGATATTGTCAAAATTGATGGAATTATGGAATTTTCCTTAAATACAGCATCTCCATGCATGCAAGCGTTTCATTAAATTTCTGCACAATAAAAGAAATTAAGGCTGACCCAAATCCTCAGCACAGCAATGTAGGTTAACTGTTGATTCTAGATTGGCTGTAAATATGGATCAGTGTCTCTCTGTGTTAACCCTCCCTGGCAACCTGTTCAGAGTATACTCCTCCACATGACATGTTCCCCCAAAAGGCACCCTGTGAACCTCATAGTGATGACCAAGTTTTATAATTCCCCCTCAAACTAGAAAGTCGCACTGATAGTGAAATCAGAATATGTTCACAAAATGTAACAGTAATAAAATGTGTGCTTGACACAGTGTAACACATTTAATTCCCCTTTGAGTTACCTTCACCATCAGCTCTTACCTCACACTGAGCTCGAGGACTGATCAGACACTGAAGGCGGGTTCCAGATGTTTTGTTCTCCACGAGTCTGGTCTGTTAGATGATCTCTATAAGATGCTGGCCGCTCCGCTGTGGAATAATACAGAAAATATGCAGATAATAAGGTGTATCCTGTTTTCCATCTTTGAAATGAATTTGGGTTTACTGCTAAAACTGCTCTCTGTTCAAAGCACACGATGAAATTTAAGTTATGATAATTTGGAAGTTTCTAGCAGCGTGAATACATCCACAGATTGATATGCTTTAATTTCTGTGCCTTCAAACTGAAAATGTGAAATATGTAGGGATGGGTATCGTTTAGGTTTTATCCGATACCGGTGCCAAATCGGTACTTTTGAAATGGTGCCGGTGCTCAAACGGTGCTCAAACCGGTGCTTAAAAGAATGGAGAACACAAAATTGGTCCAAAAACCTCTTATGTTCAGCTGGTTTTTGTAAAAAGATAACAATGTTAGCCTTTTCTGCAGCTATGGGGCATATATGGTATCACTCTTGGCTGGAAGCAGTGCTTAAACAATGGAAAAAACACAAACTTTGTCCAAAAACCTCTCATGTTTAACTGTTTTCCACTTCTTCTTTGGTCATTTTAGCCTTTTTGGCCAGGGTGAAGGGAGTATCTGCCATCAAACAAGAAGACAGCCGCATGTAGCTATGATGATGTTTGCTAGTTCACCTTACATGCATTAATGTAATAACGTGGTTAGCCTACTCAACGTAAATTACACACGAACAACATTAAGCTACTCACGCAGAGAAGAACGGCTGCTGCTGCTGTATCATCATCCGTCATCATTTCTGCTACACTGGCAGGGCTAGGGGCCAGGACTCTATTCTTTGTGTCTTTGGGGGATGTTGCATAACAGGCAACCCACCCGCAGTAGATGTGCTCGGTGTGAGGTCTCGCAGCAAGCTATGTCACTACCCGATCCGTACCGGAAACCCGATCGGTACCCCGCATGCGCAAATCTTACGTCACTTCCTCTCTTTGCCAACATTGCGACATTCAATATATTTGATTGATTTCCTGGTTTAAACCAAATGGAGCTTGTAAATCTAGAATAGACTATTGGCTAGGAAGTGACATCATTCTTAGCCACACTGTAAAAGTTGCGATGTCAAATGCACCTCTATCTGATCATTGCTTTATTGAACTGTGCTTAGAATCGGAAATTAGACAATCAAATAAAAGAACTTATTGGAAGTTCAATGCCAAACTTTTACAAAATGAAGACTACTGCAACATAGTCAAAAAAATTATAAAAGATATTATGGCTGATCATCTAATTGTAGGATATATCAATAAATGGGAATTCATTAAATTCAAAATTAGAGAATTTAGTATTCAATTCAGTAAAAACATAAGTCAAAAGCAAAGAGAATATGAATGTAAATTATTCCAAGAAATTACTTATTGCTGTAGTAAAGATGATCTAAATACCCAAGAAAGGAGTAAACTTATGGAGTTGCAAACTAAATTAGATCAGCTCTACCTAAATAAAGCAGAAGGAGCTTTTGTGCGTTCACGGGCCAAGTGGATTGAGGAGGGGGAAAGAAATTCTTCATATTTTTTTAATTTAGAAAAGAGCAGACAGAAAAGAAATTTTATATCTTCTCTGTTAATTGATGGCATTGAATGTGACGACCCTAAAATTTTGGAGAATGAAACTTATACATTCTATTCCAATTTATACTCCTCACAGTTCTCCCAAGCAGATTGTGATGTCTTTTTTGATCAAATAGATAATCTGATCCCTAAAATTGATGAATAATTTAAGGAATTATGTGAATCTGACTTCAGAATTGAAGAGTTAGATGCATCTGTTAAGAAAATGGCACTTAATAAATCCCCTGGTCCAGATGGGCTTACAGTTAATTTCTTCCAATTTTTTTGGGAAGACTTACGGGAAATTTTATTCAAAGCTATACTGGCCAGTATTGAAAAGGGAGAATTGATGTCTAGCATGAAACAAGGATTAATTACATTAATTCCTAAACCAAACAAAGATAAACGACAATTGGATAACTTAAGGCCCATAACTTTATTAAATACAGATTATAAAATTTTCTCTAGCTCAGTTGCAACAAGGCTCAAACAAGGGGTTTCAAGTATAATTAGTGAGACACAATCAGGGTTTTTGAAAGACAGGAACATTCATAATAATATCAGATTGGTTTTAGACTTACTGGACTACAATGATCTGATTAGTGATGACAGTTTTATTCTTTTCTTGGACTTTTATAAAGCTTTCGATTCAGTAGAACATCCTTTTATTTTAGAAACACTAACTCGATTTGGATTTGGGGATAAATTTAGGAAGATAATAGATATACTGTATAATGATATAAATAGCTCTGTGTCATTAGGCTATGGCACTGGTAAAAGATTTAGCGTCAAAAGAGGAATTAGGCAAGGGTGTGGAAGCTCTCCGTTGTTGTTCATAATGGTTGTGGAGATGCTCGCAATTCTAATTAAAAACAGCAGCGTTGCCGGAATTGAGATTATGGACAATTCTTTAATAATTAGTCAACTTGCGGATGACACTACTCTTTTCTTAAAAAATGAACATCAGATTCCCCTGGTAAAACAAATAATCACTACATTCTCAAAAGCTTCAGGCTTAAAGTTAAATTTAAATAAATGTGAATTATTGGCATTAAAGGAGTGTAATTCACAATTACTGTACGATATAAAGGTGAAGAAGGAGGTAAAATATTTGGGCATCACAATTTCAAAAGATCACAAAGTCTTAGAAAAAGTAAATATTTTAGATAATGTTGACAAATGTAAGACAATCCTAAATAAGTGGTTACAAAGAGACATCACAATTTTTGGAAGAATATTATTAACCAAAATGGATAGTTTATCTAGATTTATATATCCAGCTTACTCTCTATCAATATCGAATAACGTTATTAAAACAATTAATAGCTTGAATTTTAATTTTATTTGGAGGAATAAGTGCCATTATATATCTAAAGATGATTTGGTTAAACCATACATTGAAGGCGGTGGAAACGCAATTGATTTTGACATAATGAATGGTGTTTTGAAACTTAAATGGTTAAAATCCTTCCTAAATAATCCACACTCCATTTGGTTTTTTATACCAAGTAAGGTCTTTAACACACTAGGGGGTATCGACTTTCTCCTAAAGTGTGACTTTGAAATTACTAAGCTACCTGCTAAACTCTCTGAATTCCATAAACAGGTCCTTCTTTATTGGAAAATGTTATTTAAACATAATTTCACTCCACATAATAGCCCAATTTGGAACAATAGATATATACTGATGAACAGAAAATCTATTTTTATTCAAGATTGGTTATCAAAAGGTGTTTGGGCAATTGCCCATTTTGTAGATGAGGAAGGACATGTTCTAGGACATCAAGATTTTTGCCAAAAGTTTAATATCCAATGTTCTAAAAGTAAATTTAATCGGGTTATAAAATCCATTCCATTGTCACTTAAAAACATAGTTGTAAATGATATAATATATTCTGACATCTCCCCCAAGTTAAGGCAATTATATATAGATGGTATTCGATTTTGTGATGTTAAATGCAACAATAAGTTTCTTAGATCTTCATTAAGGAGTCTTTATTCTCCAAATTTACTTAGACGTAATTACATATTAAAAGATTTCCAAAGGGAAGAAATTGAAAAAATAAGAACTGATTATATCACCTTCCCTATCCCTCCTAAAGGGAAAGAAGTCCAATTTAAAATCTTGAATAAAATTTACCCGACAAATAGACTCCTTAGTGATAGATTCAAAATAGAAACGGGTAATTGTGTATTTTGTGGAACAGAAGAGGAGGATTTGGACCATCTATTCTTTTTGTGCAATTTTATACAAATATTTTGGTTGGATTTTCATACCTGGCTTTATTCCAGTGGGATTCAAATTACCCCATTTACCTTAAATATGATAATGTTTGCAGTGTTTTTGAAAGAAAAGAAAGCTAATTATGGTGTTAATGTGTTATTAATCTTGTGTAAGTATTTTATACATAAATGTCGCTTTTTTAAGATTAAACCAACACTGGCTCACTGGAAAAACGACCTAAACCTGTTGGTTAAATCTTTGACTTTAGTTAAAAAGAAAAAGGCTGCTTTTTTTGTTTCCTTTGTAGAAGATTTTGATTTAGTGAGTTAATAATCTGTTAATTTATGTGACCCCATCTTTATATTTTATTTTCACTATATATGAAAGTTGCTAATATGTAAGAAATGTTTATTCTCTGAATCTGTAATATATGGTGCATTTTGTTTGTATGTTTATATTACTAATAAAAAAATAAATAAAAAAAAAACCGGAAAAAAAAATAAAATAAATACGGCGCATTTCTGGGCTTTTAAAAAAAACGCTATGCGTCGCCAGGTATTTCATCGGATTTGAGGTGTTACCTCCTTTGACAGTATCACAGTATCAGCTTAAAGCACTTGTTGCTGCTGAGTTTGCATATTTTGCTGTGAAGTACAGCCAGACTTTTGACCGCTTCGCCTTGGGCATTTTTAATCTGTAGCTCTGCTCTAAAAGAAAGTACGTACCTGGACCCGCCTACTATCCTCGGAAACGTAAAATGATTGGCTAGAAGTGTATCACAGCTCAGGAAAAAAAAGCACCGAAATGTGCGCTGCTTTTCGGTCTGAACCGTTTATGTCAGAACCGGTGCACACCGGTACCCATCCCTAGAAATATGTGAGGTACACAAATGAACAATGCACGCACAATAAATATGTTTTAGATTCTGATCATCAGGAAATACAATGATAATTCTGTTACTGCTGATATCTGATATAAATAAGTGAAAATAACTAAAGATATGATTTCCTGTGCTGCTGTTTCTTTCATAGACTTTTATAGAATAGTCTGGGAGCAGTTGGTGTATAAACCTGTATTTAAATGAAACTTGATAAGATGACAACATACAGAGAACGCACAAGCTGCCTTTGTTACCTGTATAATTATAGATGAACCACAACCCCCCCATCAGACCGACACCCATTACAAAGGCTGCAAAGACAAGTCCCATCACTGGTCCAGTCTCCACCACCCGGTCTAGAGTCAGAGGGTGATATATTTTAAAGACAAAGACAGTAACATCACCAAAATACAGTAAATGATACTCACTGCTGTGCTCTGGCTCTGGTCTGGCCAGCGGAGTGACGCTGAGTCTCTTGATTCTTTGGCCAGTAGGGTTCCTCATTTTAGGTGACAGTGAACTAATCGGGTGGGTGACCACCATGGGTCTGGAGAGGTTTCTGATCTCACACTGAAGTGGGAATACAGGAAAAGGTTTATGCTTTAGTTATACTGGCTTCACCTTCCAGTGCCATGATATCAGAGGAAAACGTAAGTGTTAAAAAGCATAAATCATAATAAAGTAATTTTAAAAAGAAACTAAACCGTTTCAGTTCTAAGGTTTTATATATCAGGGTATATTAAACATACTCTGGTCCTTGGCAGGTATGAAATTAGGTAAATATAACCTCAGAAGTACAAAACAAGACATGAACCTGTGTCATTATTTATTCAACAAAAATTAGAAAATTAAATGTTGAAGCTGTGTGAGTATATCCCATAATTCATTTGCTTCTGGAATCACCTTTTGAAGTCAATTCAATTATTTTTATATAGCGTCATATCAAAACAGTTGCCTCAAGGCAGTCTGGTATAATAATAATATGTTTTTTGTATTCTTACAAAGTTACTTCAGTTAATTGAGGTTTGCAGGCATTGATTTATGCACAGCTCTCTTAAGGCCCCATCACAGCATTTCAGCCAGGGTGAGGTCTGGATTTTGAGCGGGCAGTTGCAAAACCTTGATTTTTTTACTTTTTCAGCCCCTCTGTAGTAGATTTGCAGCTGTGCTTGCAATCATTGTCTTGTTCCATGACCCAGTCTGGGTGAAGCTTTAGCTGTTGAACAGATGGCCTACTGTAGAACAATTTGGGATACAGAGGAGTTCATGGTTGACTCAGTAATTACAGAATGCTGGAAAACAAACCCAAATCATGAGGCATTTGGTATTCACCAAACACGGTGTTGTGCATTATAGCCAAACATCTCCACTTTGCTCCTGTCCTTCCAGAGGACAATTTTCCAGAAAATTTGTTCAGATACAAATTTTCAAATCCAAGTAATTCTGCCATGTTTGTATTCCAAACAGGTCACACCTATTCAGTCTTTTTCTAACTGTACTGCCGTGAACTGCAATATTTAACATGCTAACTGAGTCCTGCAGAGTCCGAGATGTAGATCCTGCGACTTTTGCAGTTTATCTAACTATAGGACCTGAGGAGGACCAGATTAATTCCCCTGATATACAAAACGATGTCCTGGTGTTTACCATGACTCTACTACAGAACTATTATATAAGGTTGCACATTCAAACGTGTTTTTAGCAAATATTTGGCTCTTTATTGTTTTAAATAAAGCTGACCTACTTTCTTACACAGCTTGGTGTGAAGGCTAACACGGTTCACTTTACCTACATTTTTTAAAATCTAAGACTAGGTATGCTAACTGGCTCCTGGCTTTAGGTTTCTCAGTGAGCTTTCAAACACATAATGGTTATCAATCTTCTCATCAAACGCTCCACAAGGAGCCTAACAGGCACTTTTTACAAATGACCAAGCTACAGTTTCCCTGCTCCATCTTAGTGCTTTTGACAAGATGATTTATTTGCTATTTCTTCTGGGTTTTTTTACCTGATGCCCGGGTGATCTAGATAGAAGCAGAGGCATGCGTGGCCTGCCCTCACAGTCATTCTTTATAGTTTCCTTCATGGGTTCCCCTCTAGTTGTGTCAGAGACACAGAGGCGCAGGCTGCAGTGGAGGAACTGCATTGAGTCGTTATAAACTGGTCGTAGAATGAAGCTGAATCTTAAGGGCAGTATCTCTTCTCTCACACTCATGGTCCTCTTGTCTCTCCCTCCTCCACTTTCTGCTTTTTCACCTGTTTGATCAATTCTGCCATTTCCCAGGCCCTCTGTCTCTTCCGTTTCCTCTACTGCTTCAACGTTATCTTCAGTCTCCTCTTGCTCATGTTTTGACTTCGCACTGAAGGTCAGTGAGGGGTCAGAGGAACAGCCGTTACTTATCACAGTCCAGAAAGGCGATTTTTTGGGGTCTGAGAAAGAAGAGACTACACATGACTTCACTTCCACGACATCTGCGAGGGGTGCTTTAGCTGAAATCTGCAGCAGAAAAAAATGATGCAGAATATATCATAGTTATAATTAAGTAGCTTTCATGTTCATTAGATGTATTTAAAAAAGTAAGCTGTGAAGAAGTTAGTGCGACAGTTTACACCACAATATCAAATTGAAGCAGAGAAAACACATGAAAAAGACCTGGACATAGACACGCTGGTCAGCGGTGATGACACACGGACCAATCCGCCTCTGCTCGTAGCTGTCTGTGACAAAAAGCTCCAAAAGAAGAACAGGCCCAGATCTGTGTCTGGGTGTTGGGAAGTGGCTTAGGTCTGGGGTGGGCCACAAGCCCTCTGGCACCCAGGGGACCAGTTCTGTCTGCACAGTGTTTACATTCTCATTAGCAGCAGCGCTGCTCGGAGGGCCAGGGACAGCAGAAAAACAGCTGAACTGAAAGAAAACAGCGCAAGGTTATGTATGAAAAATCTTGCATGAAAACTGTAAAATATAAGATGAATGTAAACAGACACACAGACGTCTCACACGTATGCCAAGTGGACCTTTGGACTTCTCAGTCTCATTGAGTGAAAGGATGGTCTGAGGTTTGTCCCTCCATAGTAACAGCTGGTCAAAAAGGACAAACAGAGAAATCAAACTCAGAGTCACTCTCAGTCTCCTTCTCCTGGGGCATATCTTTCCACTATGAAAATGAGTCTTTCAGGTGGTGTTTTCCACACAAAAATGATAAAATATACAAATAGTATCAATACCATCATAATGTATAAATTACATTCATCCTGTGGTGTGTAAGCTTAGTTTCATGCCCTCTGCTATTTTCTGTTTCTGTTCTAAATTTTTACTCTGATGAGGCACTAATGATTGGTCAGTATAGAAACCTGCTACTCTCATTACCTACTTTGACTTTACCAAGTCTCGAATGTTCCCAAACTTGCTGCAACTACATGACAAAAATCTAACTTTAGAAGTTTGTTCCAGCGTCTTTGGCTTTATTCCTTGATTAGACGTCTTTCAGAGAGAGTTGTAAAAAAAGTTGTTGAATAATTTGCAGATTAAAGTGACTATAACTAAGGACAGATCTACTGAATTTTCAAACATAGTTGTGCTAAAGAGTACATTGAAAATGTTGGGGGTGCAGGTACCCCAGACCCCTCTCTTCAGCTACACCCCTGCTTCAGTGATCTTGGGCCAACCCATTTGAGAAAACCTGACATCAAGATTTTCATGTTTACAACCTTTAGTCTTCTTTAAGGCCCATTTATTTTTCTGTGACTTTCATCAACGTAGCAAGAAGGTTATATGTGTCATGATCAAGAACGTAAAGTAGATGGAGGAAGCTGAGGGATGTTCTCCCACAGACTTCTACACAACCAAACTTTTCTGAAAACCAGAAGAACTGCCCCCTGCTGTCCATTAAAATTAATACAGGTTTAAGGTACATCCCTCTAATATTTGCAGTCTATGTTCTAAACGTTCTCATCTTTTCTGTCTAGCAAGGTTGTTAGAACAAATGCAAGGAAGAGGAATCCTGGAGAAGATTGTTCACACTCAGCTGATAGACTATCTAAATGATTTTCAAATTCCAGAAGCTCTTCAGTTCGGCTTTAAGCCGTTTCACAGCACAGAGACAGCTCTCATAAAGGTTAAACATGTCTTTCTTGTTTTGTTGGATATGACTGCTGATTTGACACAGTGCAACATGACCTGCTGATCTCTCGACTACAGCATTGTGTAGAAATTTCCGGCACTTTTGTGGATAAAATCATATCTCTCTAACAGGAGCTTTTGCGTTAAGTTGAGTTCGGCTTCATCCTCTGTGGCCCCTCTGCCATGGGGTGTAGCGTAGGGATCTATTCTTGGGCCACTAATGTTTTCATGTTTTCCTGCCACTCGGTGCGATCTTCCGAAAACAAAAAATTGAATTTCCAGGCCTGACTTGGAAACTGTCATCTATGCTTTTATAACCTCATGCTTGGATTACTGCAACTACCTTTTAATAGAGGTTGGCCAGGGCCCTCTGTCACTCCTGCAACTGGTGCAGAATGCTGTGGCATGGTTTTTAACTGGTAAAAGAACATTTGAGCACATTAATTTGCTTTTGGCCTCCTTAAACTGGCTTCCAATTGAATTTAGGATCTATTTTAAGATCCTTTTACTGGTTTTTAATTTGTTTTTACTCATTTTTAATTAATTTTTATTAGCTGGCCTTTGACTTAGTGGGTAACTGACAAGTTATTTTATTGTTATTTATTTTTTGTATTTATTATTCTTATTGTATTTTTTATATTTCTGCTGTACAGCAGGGCCATGTGTTGTTTTTAAAGTATGGTATGCTAACGAAGAGACACGAGGACGGATGAGCTGAAGCTCGCTCACCTGCTTCATCAGCTTTTCAGCCTTCCTGCCCGAATTCAAATTGGCCCAGATTGCCTCTTCACCTGCGTTAACCCGCAGTCTGCCTGACTATCTCCAGCCAAGTCAGTCTCACCAGCTCCAGCGTCATCATTACCTCTACAGTAATAAATGTGGTTCAGCTTGTGGGTTCAGCATTTGGACATAATTTGAGTTCACTGCTTCAGCACAGTGGCCTTAAGCCTGTGTTGTTTGTCTGTTTTTCAATCATGTTTCCATCCAGCCTCCCACCTCTGAGGGGACATTTGCTCTCACTTAATTTGCCTCTGCGCAAACACCCATTTTAGGCTTGACCTCAGCAATGTTCTGGTCACAATGACCTGGGTCGCAAGTCTTACCAGGACAACTTCCACTTAACACAAATTCAAGTGGCTGTTATGCACCACATGCCTTTTTTTCCTGTACCATGAGTAAAGGACATTTGTTTTTGTTTTGAACGCAGACGCTTTCCTAACTGTGTTCTGAACGTTTTCCTGTTTGTCCTGTTTCCTCCCTTCAGATTTATTTATTTCTTTATTTTCTGACAGCTTGTTTTGAATTACATCCACAGTGATGCAGATTTTTTTCGAAGACAAGATCTGTATCATTCTTTCCCTCGTGTGACAGAAGATATAGAGAGGAAAGTTAGGGTTCAAGTAACAAACAAAGACAGAAAATTCTCCAAAGTTTCAATGTTTTGTTGTTGTTGAAATGTCTTATCTCACCATGTTTTTGTACTGCACCCCTCTAGGCTCTCCCAGGAGCAGGCCTTCTGTCCCACAGGAAATGACTGGGAACACTAAAAGGAAATGGCTCCCATTGGACTCAGCCTGGCAAGTCAGGTCACGCAGAGTCACGGCAGCCATCGGGACAGACAAGTTCTGAAAGAGAGCACTGATGTGAGGCACTACAGAATATCACAGTGTGAACAGCTGCTTTAGGTTTGTCGCTGCTTCTAATTTAGATTTTAAAAAAGTTAAGACCTGCAGAATGCTTCTGTCCACCGTCACGCTGAGGCGTCCGCCCTCACAGTTCACTGTGAAACCCTCCCGGCCTTCTCCTGCTCTGCTCCCACCATTCAGCCACTGCCTCAACCTGCGCTCCTCTGCCTCAGGAGGCCTTGCAACCAGTGGATTCGTCACTGCAAACTTACCTGTGATACAGAGAGGAGATCAAGAGATACAACCATTCACTCAAACATCAAAATCCTTCATTCAGCTGTAAATACTATATGGAATAAATACTATGAGTAAATACTATGGAATAATTTAAACGAAAAAAGACCAAACAAATGATATATACTTTCTTTTGAGTGAAAAAACGAAATTCAAATGTTCAGTTTATACAGCCCATTCTCACTCCTGAGGTGTAACATCCTGACGATTTGTCACGTCCTGCGGCGTTCCTGAGGAACGCGAAAGTTGACCTTCTGCGTTCTTATGCTACGGTTATGGGTGAAATCCAGTAGAATTACGGTCCCGCGGTACTACACGTTCCAGCCATCCCTAACCTTAACCAGCACTTTAATGGTGTTAAATAGTGTTTGCCAAAGCGATTTAAGCAAAATGAACGAACATGTGTAGATTGATTCCAAAAGGTTCTCATGTTTCCTCATTTTTTCCGATCTTGTCATTAAGGGATGTGTTGGGTGCCCGGAAGCGTAACATGTTGACGATTTGTCACATAGCGTAAAATATTACGCTTTGGAAGTGAGAACGTGTTGGTTCAGACACAGAAGAGTCCCGACCTGCTTCTCCCTCAGCCAGCCGGATCACAAAGTGATTGGCCAGGTCGGCCTCAGTGTATGAGGTCACCGTGGTGAAGCCACTCTCACGGGCCCAAAGGAGAAGGTCCGAGATGCTAGACAGGTCAGGGTCGAGTGTGCTGGCCACTGTTAGGCCAGGCTCAGGTGGGTAGGGTGGAGACACGCTGTTGGAGGACTGTGTAGACAGCAAGATGAAGCATAATACAAGTAAAGATCAAGTAGAGTCAAGGACACTGTGGCACAGAGCAATACAATAAAGTATTTTAGACTATGGCCAGTAACGCTAGGACCAGTTCTTTTTGGATTTGGTCACAATGAGAATGATTTGTAGCCTTAGATTCCTGTTAGCTGTGTGTTAAAAAAACAAAACAAATTCCACCACGATGGTGATGTAAATGGCAGCTGATGCCCTTACATGAACAGAGATGCGACCCTGGATGCCATGAGCAGTAATGGCCCAGTTGACGGGCACAGAGCTGCTGAGAATCAACACAATCTTGTGCGCTCTTGAGTCGGCCACTGGAGGCACAAGCGATACAGTCACCTCTACCTGCATGGAGCTGAAGAAGAGTGGACAGAGAAAACAACGTTTAACCCAAACGGCATCATCTGGGGCCAAATAATTGAAGTAGTACAGAAAAAAAAAACCCTGCAGCTCCTTGAATCACCACAGGGGGCGACTCTAGAGTTGTTCTATGTCAAATTATCCAACTTTAAACTAGTTTCAGTACCCTTCATAACTACTCTATGATGGGTGAATGTATTTTAAACTGAGCTTTTTATACTGAATTAAGCCTTAAGCTTTATATTATTAGGGGCATTTCAGGGGGGTTAGGGGGGTTATGACCCCCCCCCAATAATCAGACCCAACCAATGTAAGCCCCCCAATAAAATTATGAATTATCTTGCATAAATAGGCTGTTGATTTTCTTTACTCATTTCAGGTATTACCAGCAAATTAGTTGCATGTTTAATCATCTCGGAATTTGTGTTTGTGCTGTTGGTGAATTATCTGATAATAATACTAAGGCTTTGTGGTTCATTGTACTAATATACTGTACACTCTGAAGTGTTTTTCTTCTTTGTTAACCAATGTGCAGGTATGTGTAGCAGTGTAATGCAGCCTCATAACCAGGCTTGATAAAGATACCTGACAAATAGAGGTGGGTTTAGAAATTGATTTCCCCGATTCAAATAGATTTTAGCGTGAGTAAAGCAATATCGCTTCATGAAATCCTGAATCGATTTTTAAATATGAATGTATTTTTCCAGAAACACCAGAATCTCAGCTTAAAGCCCACAAAACAATTTCAGCGACCACCAAACAGCTAAAACGAGAGCAGAAACGGATTCTGCAAAAAGACGTAAACACAAAGCACGGATCGTTCAACCGACGTCACGTACACGGACGGTGCTGAAAGCCGACATCTCACAGATTCTGATGCTGCAGGTTTTGTCGCTGAACCAGCAGCAAAAGATCAAAACTACGCTTCATGTTTGATAAACATCGTCACTAATTCCCTCTTACTTTTGCTGTTTTGCTTCCACTACGATAAAATCCCACTTCCTGCACAGCTTTCTCTCCCTCAGTGTACTTCAAGAACCGTTTCCCATCTCAAATCTCAGTTTTCTGCATTATTCGCTTCCTTATTATGCACCAGTCTACTGTTTTGTTCAGCGCTGTTGCACATTGCTTTTTCTTTTATCTTAAAAATAACCTCCGACAAGAAAGCCTAATTTCTGATGTTCATACCAAAGAAACTTAAACTTTTACAAAATATGCCAAATTGCAAAACGCTTAGCTGTGTCTCTAATAAAACCTCTGTAACTTTGCTCAGCCTACATCAGGTAATTTTCATATCTTGATTCACGGTTTTCTTCATCTTTTAATTTTCTGCAGAATATTTTTAAGGCGGTTATCTGCCATAAAAAGCCAGGCCAGGAAAATCTGCATCATGTTTTTCTGTATTTTATCCTCCGTTACTTTTACACGATGCTTACATCTCTGATGAAGTCTCACAAGTATCAGCTTTCTTTTTATACATAGATATAAAAATGTGGATATGTACTGATAAATGATCAGAATTATAATATGAATTATAATCATAATATTACAGAATAATACAGAATTATAATATTATAATATGTCTGAGTCAAAATTGAATCAAATTGGGACCTTGTGAATGAGAATTGAATTAGTTATAGAAATCAGTGACGATATCCACCCCTACTGACAAATATCATCATTTCTGCCTAGAAAAAGCAAGATGGAAAAACCCAAAATGCTAAAATAAAAAATAAGATAAGATAAGATAAGATAAGATAGAACTTTATTAATCCCTCGGGTGGGTTCCTCTGGGAAATTCGACTTTTTTTTTTTTTTTTTTTTTTTTAATGGCAAACAGTGAAACAGAAAACATTGGCTACCATCATTTATATACAGGCTTTGTGGCTGTAAATAGATTCTAATTTCTGCTTTTGCCAGGACATCAAGTGGTTGCTTGTTCTCACCCACAGAGGCCTGAGCCTGATGAATGGAGCTTGATTACGTGGACCTCAGGGCTAGCTCCACCTACATTCAAGTGGGCACAACCGTGCACTTCCTGTGGCTGCAAGTCAGAGGTCATGTAGTTGCGAGAGATGAACATGGACTGCAGCTGACACACAGCAGGCAGGTTTGGATCTGTAATATGGAGACAAAGTAAGAGAAAGTTTAGAAATGGAAGCTGACCTAATGCAAAAGTCTGGTAGAAGCAAGAGGGGAAATGACTCATCTGACTCATAAGCCATCAGATGCTTGCAGATGTTTGGATTCATCATTTGTTTATTTTACCGTAAACTATTTTTCATTTGTGGATATTTTTGTGTATAAAAACTGCAAAGCTTAAATACAAAATCACCACTAAATTCGATTTTTGAGCACAGGAATGTGGATTTGGTGGCTCACCCTCTCCCAGTTGAAGGTAGACTCGATTGCCATGTGATGAGTGTGTCAGAGAGGACAGGTTGCCATGATGCTTCAGAACCCAGCGATGCAGCGCACGGGGACGAAAAGGCAATGAATGCACCGTCTGGACGTGCAAACGCAGGGCGCTGGACTGTACGCTGGCGTTTGAGGACACCTAGCAGTTGAAGGCAAATTTATAATGAATGAAACTGCAGAGTGCACTCAATCAAAACTGCTCTTCTGCACAATGACTGACCTGCACCAGGACCTGGAGGTTGGAGGGCAGTCTCTCGGCCTCCAACCACCAGGTAACTGGGACTTTGGAGATGAGCACTAGGTGGACAACCCTCATAGGAGAAGGAGACAGAGACAGAGGCTTCATCAGCACTGTCACCTATAGGGAGGAGAGGAAAAGGCAGTCCGCTGTACGTTCAGCACTTTAAAGGATAAATGTACTTCAGACAGTTAGGGTAGCTCCAAAGCTAACTACATGTAGCAAACTTAACTTAAAATACACCAAACACATTTACAGCACTTGTACAAATAAAAATGTAACAAATAGAATAAAATAAAACTTATTTGTTAGTCTTGTATTTGTGTGCCTGTGTAAGCAGCTAGAGCAATTAAATACATTTCAGCATTTTTGGTTGGGAAGCTAACGCTACTTAAAATGTTTGGTAGCACTTTATAATATGACCCACAACTAACAGTGTAATTATATGTACCTACAAAGGCTTCCCAGCAGATACAGTAGAATAAAGGGGTAGAAATTCAAATTTTCACAAGAGAGAAGAAATAATTCTATTGTAAGAGTCGAGGTTTCCTCACTTTACAGCGTAAGTGTAGCTTGTTTATCCACTAAATTACCCAGAAGTCACACGTCTTACAACTACTTACAGTATATTTATTTCTTTCCTCTCAGATCATCTCACGCTGTGTTTTTTTTAACATGGCAGTCAGTTGACTACACTCTCGTGGACTCTGCAGTCACAGATCTCGATCCAAAAGATCACCCTTGGGATGTGGTGGAATCAGTGATGCAACTGTGTGACGCTATCGTCTCAATATGGATCAACATCTCTGCAACCCCCTGTTACAGCTACAGCTATGCCTCAAGGAAGAAAGGTAGTTATAAAGGCAATGGTGGTTCCAACACAGTTGTAGCAAGATGTACCTAATAAAAGGGGGAGGGAGTATACATCTCCAGTGTCACAGTGTACTAAGCCTGTAATCTTTTGCACAAATAATCGTCTGTTCACCATCGTGTTTGACATTTCAGTTACATTTTTATCATAATTAGTCATTCTAGACTTACAGGAGGTTTCATGGAACCTTGACCCTCTTCCTTCCCCCAACAAGTCACAGAGGTTTCTTCCTGTTAAAAGGGAGTTTTTCCTTCCCACTGTCATTAAGTATTTCCTCAAAAGGGGGTCATCTGATTGTTGGTTTTCTCTGTATTTTTGTAGGGTCATTAGCTTCCCATACAAAGAGCCGACTGTAGATGTAATTTCACACAATATAAATAAAACTATCATCATCAATCATCAGTGAGAGTTTGCACCATATTTAAAGAAATTCACTCAAGACTGTTGTGACTTTTATTATAAAGAAATGTCCACAAGATCATGCTGAGACTTACTATTATTTATTTATTTTGATGTTTTCCCATAAAATCTGCCTTTTTATAACAGAATCAGCTCAGTGGTGCTACAGTGAAATTCTGTAGGTAATGTCTTTGTGATATAAAGGGAATTAAATGGATTTAAAAAGCTTATTTGAGATAGTTGAGATGTTTAAAGCTAAACATTATCATCACATTTTAAAGGAAAGCATTTGGCAAAGAAACCTTGTTGTTCTTGCGTGCTTCTGCTCTTAGTTTACAATCAATGAGACTGATTGATCAGCAAGTGACTGGAATCACATTTTCCAGCTTTCTTACGGCCTATTTGAGTCAAAACTTTAAAGCTAAAACCCGGACTCAAATAAAAGCCCCCCTGCTCCTGAAGCCGGGGTCCTTGGTTTTTGCTAAGTAATCGTTAGCCGGCTACCTTGTTTTCTGGGCTGTTGGTCACTCTTCTTAATGCAATGACATGAGTCTCCTTGTTTCCGCGTTCTCTAGCAGCACAGCCGGGGCCTGCCTCGAACCTTTCCAGCAGACCCTGAACAGGGTGTCGAGCACCCACTGGACCAGCCACTGAGCAGTGCAGCTCTCCACTCTGAGCTGGAGAGGAACAGTGCATGCATCACTACAAAATGTGTTAAACCTGAAATATATATGCACAGGAAGTACATTCATCTGCTGCAGCAGCGTGATCACTGTGTAAAATAACAAATAACATGAGTGCTTCCCCATGCAGGCCTCGCTGAGTTTCATTGTGAAACATTGTGTTTCTTCTCCTCCTTTCTCTCCCTCTAATGTGTGGGTGATACAATACTCTGATGTTTCTACATTTGCTCAAATCCCCGCCTGGGGGTGGGTGGGAACTTGTCCAAGAAAAAAACTATGTAGCAACTTTCACTTTCATTCTGACACTTCAAGTAAAGACCTTTGACTTGGGCACAGGAAATACCACATTTACAATTCGCTATGTCTTCACGACACAATCCTCATTGTTGCTGGTCTAGAAGATAAATACATCTCTTGCTGTGTCTCCTGCTGGGTGTCGTTGGACTTACCTTCTGGGTGCTCCAAGAGGAAAGAGAGAAGGAATAAAGTCCATCCAAGTCCAGACAGCGAAGGCATCATGACAACTGCTTCACCAGACTGACCGAATGCTTTTTTAGTGTAACACCTTAAAAACACAATCAAACATGCAGTTTATGTGTGATTTCTAACTCAGAGTTATCTCAGTATGCCTGTTTTTCGCCAGAGCAGAAAAGCTTCAGATAAGTTTGATTAGTAATGATCAAAATAGGGACTGTTGGTTGAAAAAAACAAGCAACCTTGATATACTCCCCCTGGACACATTATTAGAGACATCTGTTCAAATGGCCATTAATGTAAATATCTCATCAGCTAATCACATGGCAACAACTCACATTTAAGCATGTAGACATTGTCTGAGCTTCAGACCAGGGGAGAAACCTGACTGATGTAACATTGACATGGTCGTTGGTGCCAGACAGTGTGGTTTGAGTATTTCAAAAACTGATATTTTGCTTGGATTTCCCCAAACAATGATCTCTAGGATTTATGTAGAATGGTTCGAGAAAGAGACAGCGGCAGCTCTCAGGGAGAAAATGCCTCACTGATGTCAGAGATCAGAGGAGAATAGCTAGAATGTTTCGAGCTGAAGACGACAATAACTCAACGACCACGCTTTACAATCAAGGCATGAGTAATAGCATCTCTGAATGCACAACTCTCTCCCACATAAACAGGACCTCATCTGTACCCTTAATGATGAGTTTTGATACCTTAGTAAATATAAACAAAGATGTTGTTTGATGAACATTAGAATAGTTAATGTGTTTTTCCAAGTTTAGGTGCATCAGCAGAGACCACCCTCAATAATTTCTGATGCAAGCGCAGTCTATAACAGAAACTGCCCGGGTCAGAAAAGAGATTCAAGGGTCACTCTTAGTAGGCTTTCAAGGATAAAGAGTTAATGTACCCATCAGCTGATGGGGATAACACACCATCAAGTAACATCATGGATGTGCAGCAGCTGTTTGTTGCTATCACATTAATATGGGCCCAAAACTGCTGGCAGAAAACTGCTGAATAGAAAGGTGTACCTAATAAAGTGTCAGTTTAAAAAAAATAAACATTTAATAGCAATAATTAACAACCAATCAACCAAACATGTTCCTCTGGGAAAGAGTTTTACAAAATGAACTGTCACAATAAAAAAGTATTTTAAATAATATAAAAAAACTTTCGTCAAATGTATTAAATCAAAGCTTTTATCAAACCATCCTGACTTAAGTGCACTGACCTCTGATTTACTCTTCTCAGCTTGTTTTTTCTTTTTGCTCGCAGAAATGCGCTGACATGGAGCAGAACGTGCTTGAGCATCAGTCTGATCCATGCATGGTCCACGAATTTACTGAGAACCAGTCCATACTGCTCAGGAAATCATGCAAAACATCCTGAGCAGAACAAACACGCGCTCTGCAGTCTGTGTGAGAGCTGCTAACTTGATTCATGCTTTAAGATAGTGAAACATGGAGACTGGTGTTCTCATAAATGTATTTTTGTTGCTGCTGTTAAATTCCAAGAAAGTTCCGGACAGATAAGTCGTGCTAGTCGAGTCTTCAGGAAATTGCAGGATTCCTAAAAACTCTCTCCCCTCCAGCGGTCTGCGCTCTTGGGGTGAATACAGTCACTCACCTGCGGCTCCTCGAAGGTACAGGCTGACTGCTGGTCCAGCTGTTTGCTTCAGACTTCACTGTATTCACAACTCTGCGCACACCCCTCTCATTTCCTAAACACACTATCACACACCCTCAACATGTCAAACAGACCAAATACAGAATAAGAATAAGGAAAAAAAGCGCAACTCTCAGCTGTGCGGGCCATCGGGCATCTTTAGCCCGCTGAGGTGCGTCTTGTAAGCAATAGATTTCTCCGGGTGAAATTCATTTTACACATGGAGTAATGCCGAAGGGGAGGGGGTGTCGGGGGGTGGGCAGCTGTAAAGAAGGGGCAATGGGAGGGACTGCGGGATGGTGTGACAGAGTGGAGAGAGAGACGGCGAGGAGAGGAATAAAAGGCTCTGGAGACGTCTCCAAACGTAGATGGTAACAGGAAGGAGGAGTAGAGGGAGAGAAGGAGGGAAAGAGGAGGGAAAGAGGAGGACCAGGGTGGACCTCAGAAGTTTGACTGGCAGGGGAAATGTGAGGGTGATAACGGGAGGCGGGGTGGAGGGTGGTGGGGTATTTAAAAAACAAAAACCCAGACACACACAAACACACACATTAACTGGTGTGTCTTCTTATCTGAACCTCTGAAACACCTTTCTAAAGAAAACATGATAGCAAACCAGTGAAAGCCCACAGCAGCTTCTCCCCAATAAGCAGCCTGTCAGAGCTTCATCATCTATTTTATGTGTGGGTGGGAGGGGCTTGTAAGATCTTGTTTTTTCTTGGCTTTCAAAGTGGAAAGAAGTGATAACAGTGAGCATACATTGTCGAGGTTGTGATTTTGCTCACCTGAAGACCATAAGAACTGCGTTCACAGAGTTTTTAGCTCCATCTTTGGTCTCCCCACTCTCACTGCTGAGCCTGCTCGCTGTCCAGTGTGGTGTTGAATAGGCAGTATAAAGGCTTTTTGCCTTCTGGCCAAAAATGTTACTATGGGAAAGGGAGTCTGCACCAAAGCTGTAGAGTTGTGAGCACAACAACTAAACAAGGAGATAATTCTGCTATAAATTTCAGAAAAGCCAAAGAAATCAGGCGTGATTTCATGTTGTTATGGACGTGTAGACAGTCCAAATACCAAAGTTTTGCATGAGACAAAAATCTTAAACTGTGCTTTAACAAATGGGCATATCTTCTGAAATGTGAAGCCGACATGGATGTGCCTGAAACCTAATGTCTTTCTAATGGTCAGCAGGGGAGACTCAGCTGGCTGCATGATGAAAACACAAAACCTCAGCTCCCTCTCTCTTAAAGCTTTCCTGATGAGTCGTGGAGGAAAATCAAATATCACCTCATGATGTAGAGTTTCAAAAAACCCAAACAGATTACTGCAGATCGTGCATTTCTCTGACTTTTACAGTGTCTACATCCTTCTTTTTATATACAGCCCATTAAGTAAACCTGAAATGAATCAGGGGGCTGTACCCAATCAAAATACAAAGATTCTCATCATATCATTGTAGATGTCACAGTAACAAGATTTACAGTATTAAAAGACTTGTCTAGTTTCCTCAGATTTTTTAAGAACAGACTGCACACCATGCCGACCTCTTTGTAAATCACCTTGTTGGTGCAAAAATCCTATTTTATGTCTGTCAAAGTGTTTTATCTTAGAGTCAACTAAATAAATGGGAACAAACTGTGGTTTAGTGACAGGCTGCAAGTAAATAAAGTGCAATTTTTAAACATGATCTGTGTCTGTGAACTTTAATTGCATAATAGTTCCCTTAAAGCACCAATAACGATACCAGCTGGGACCCTGAGTAACTCAGACATGTTTAGTCATCCTTTTACATTTTACCTGTTTTTTGTTTTTTTTTTCCATCTAGGCCTTAGTGAGCAGGGATAATTGATCCACTCCCCAAATCCAAAATGCTGTGGGGTCAGTGCGACACAAGAAAGAAATTACACGCACATCTGTGTGCTGCTCTCCTGCAAATCACCTTTCAATTAAAGCAATCACAGAAACTCCGGATACATCTGCGCCATCGCTCAGTCAAAACTCTTTGGACTGGTCTTTCAGCTACATTGTTAGTTTTCATTTTTATTTCATTTTACTTATTGTTTAAAACATTTCCATTTGGTTTTTATTCATTTTAATGCCACTTTTAGTCCTTTTATTTATTACAGTACGGGGGTTTTCGGGTATTACGATAAACACCAAACACTTTTAGCCTAACAAACTGTTTGTACTGAAGCTTCCTGAGGCTTGTTGACAAACATCACTAAGCTGATATAGAATTAAAATCAAACACACTTTCTGATTATTCCAAGTTTATCTTAATTCTGTAGGCTCAAAACATTTTTTCAGGTTTTTGTCTATTTTTTCGTTTTTCTTTAAGTAAACAAAACAAATTCTTCACACCTCTTTTTGAGTTTATTTTTAGTTTAATATAAAACCACAAACCTATCGTAAAGAAACATTTTCTTTGAGGAACCTGGAGTTCAAATCATTTCTTCTATCCGGACCGATAGGTTTCCTTTATCGCTCACATGCGTGTGCGAACAATTTGCTGATGTAAGAATATACAGCAGACGTGTGTGTTGTTGGGGGGGGCATTAAATCACCAAATTTTCCAAAGTTTGGGTTCACATTTTTACTGAGTCAACACATTTCACCAGCAAATGACAGAGGAAGAAACACAGATGGGGGTAAAACAAAACTTTAAAATCACAAAAATTGTAAAAGCTTCCTGTCTCTGAAAAACGATTGGAGTCAAAAATCTGTGTTGTACCAAAAGTCGGTGGGAACGCAACACAAAGACGACTGAGCAAGACCGTCCACTTGCTCCTGCCTTTCTTTGGCTTAATCAAAAGAAGAGAGCCCCTCTTTCCTCTGGCTCCCCCGGGTGGTAATGTACGGGTGGTGCATGATTGCGGATCACGTGGATACATTCATGACTGAGGCAGAGGACAGTGCACATGGCTAAACACACACTGTAGCAGCAACAGACAGCAGAGATAAAGGGACGACACAGTGTAGCAAATGCAGGAAAAAAAGAGCGCTTCCTGTCAGAATCATCACATTTTTTTCACTCTTTGTGATTTTGAGGCTCTGTGAGCGTTTCAAACAAACAGCAGGATCTGATAACCTGGATTATCTTCAGTTCTTCTCGTGACCTCCCCACCCCCCCACCCTCAAGACAGTCTGTTTGTTACTGCCTGTGTTTGGAACGCGCAATCATTGACGCTCGGCCCGGCCAGTGCTTCGTCTCACCGTGAGCACGCGGAGAAGAGAGTGCTCCTCGCTTCTCATCAACATCAAGTTCCTCTGTGCTTTTACAGCAGCCTTTCACTTCTCAGTCTCCTCTCAGAGTCTGTGGCTGGCAGTGGGGAGCTAATAACCCTTTGACCTCTGACCGCGGAGCCTAGCAGAGGTCAGAGACGTAGTCAAAATCCTTAAAGTAATCTTGCTCCCTACGGGAGAGGGCTCGGCGCTCGCGGGGTGGCGTGAGAGCGGGAGCCTCGTTGGTGAACTCCTCGTCGAAGTTGCTGACGTCTTCTTTCCCCACTATGTTGGGAACGAACGGGGGCGGGACTTTTCTCTGCAGGAGTGCCTCCCAGTCCATTACCTGAATGGGATTTAGGTTTAGGTAGCTGTCAATCAACGTTCTCGCCAAGGAAAAAAAAAATATGAAAGAAAAAATGCTCACCCTGAAAAAAGGCTGCTTTTTGACCTCTTCGGCATCCTTTTCTCCAGAACCGAGACGTCTTTCGGGATTTCTTCTCAACAGCTAGAAAAAAACAAAAATGTCACTTATGAGCACAAAAAAACGTGAAGACATATCAAAACCTTCCTAAAAATCAAAAAGAAAGCGCTATATAAATGCAATCCATTATTATTATTATTATTATTATTATTATTAGAAATATACAAAAGCCCAAAATAACTTTAAGAAAGCATCGTCTGACCCGTCTCATGATGCCGATGGCCTCAGTGGTGAGGAAGCGCGGGTAGCGTACTTCATCGTTCACTATGCTGTCAAAAACCTCCTCTTCATCATCACCTGGGAAAGGAGACTGAAACAAACATTATACATTACACATCTGTAAAATATAACGTTTTATTCAACTACATTCTGTAGCATACTCATCATTAGTTACAGTGGTATTACACTGTAACTAATGACAAAATGCTGACTTTAAGTAATTTGATTATATGTAAATTTTTCATAGAATATTGGTACACGAGTACAATAAAAATGTTACATTTAATGGAACCTGGTCAAATGAAATTTACATGACGGGTGTAAATTAAATTAATGATTCATTATTATGATAAATAAACATGGAGTTTATATATTTCAGCTGCTCTTTTAAGGAGCTTAGAAAGAAAAGCATCTGGACTTTTCTTTCTAAGCGGATGAGAGGTAAAACGTCTTTAAGCAACTTAAAGACGTTTCACCTCTCATCCGAGAAGCTTCTTCAGTTCTAGGGTCAAATGGTGGAGAGTCACAGATTTAAGCCCTGTGGGAGTGTCCCCCCCGAGAGGGAGAAAGGACCCCCTAATGATCCTCTACCTAACCCCATGAGCCAAGGTGTGAAAATGGATGTAGGTCACAATCAGCCAAGGTTTGGGGTGAACTCACTGTAACCCCACCCTATCATGTGATTACCTGGACGTAGAACATTTTTCTAATGCATAACAATACACCTGAAGCAGCTTAGCCACCATCCTTATTTAAGTAAGACAATAACCAGACCATGTTACAGCACTAAAGAGTTTGGATGCCTAAACACCCACTGACTACCTCTGCTGCACTATGACATAAAAAGTCTTGATGCCCAATCATCCAGGTAAGTAAACCTCCAAAAGTTGATTCTGTTCAAGAGACTGAAGACTGAGACTGAGGAAATCACGTGGATGAGTGACGAAACGTTTTTCCCACTGAAAGTGCTACGTCCCGATGAACAGAATCAACGTTTGGAGATATGATGTATAAGTCCCACATCAAGCACGAAAGAGAAAATATTCTGCTTTCAAGCCTTAAGCTAACAGCTTCATCTGCTATCAAACGTTTTAAAGTGTTAGAAACAGTAAACATGCCCCTGTCATGACTTTTTATGAAACCTAAAGATGGCATCTTCAGTGTTAGTGTTTCATTTTTTGTCATTTTATTTGACATCCAGGCAGGAGATAAGAAGCTCGAAGAAAGATGGGTATTCATGACATTTACACAACCTTTTCCCCACTCCTGTCATGCTCAGTGGGAAGCTCAGAAGGTAGCAAGTTATGTAACTCTGGGAATCGGGGATCATCTGATCCTCTGCGTCTGAGCTTGGGTCAGCGCTACAAGGATCATTTACCCTTTCTACCCTAACAACAATCACATGGGTGAGAGCAACGTCAGGAGAAAATGGCCCGTGTGAATGTGGTGACTGACTAGTTCTCACCTCTCCCACCAGCATCTCATACACGAGCACCCCGAGGCCCCACCAGTCGACTGCCCTGGTGTACGATGTGTCTGTGAGCACCTCTGGGGCCAAAAACTCAGGAGTCCCACAGAATGTGCTGGTCCTGTCTCCATAACCCATGCCTCAGAAAAGAAAGAAACAAAGGGTGACCAACGTGTGAGGGTTGAGTCAGATTTAACCAAACAGAAGGGAACAGAGGATCAGTGTGATCAGCATATGATGAACACTCACCTTCTTTACAAAGCCCAAAGTCAGCTATTTTAACATAACCCTCAGTGTCCAGCAGCAGGTTGTCCAGTTTAAGATCCCTGATGGAAGAAAAGGAATCAGATTTATGTCGACTACTTCAAAGAGAAAGGAAACGCGTTACGTGTGGAATGCAAAGACGGAGGCGATACAAACACTCACCGATACACAATCTTGTGGTCATGAAGAAACTGAAGACCCAAGACCACACAGGCAGAGTAGAACCTGTTGTACAGACGACAGAAAGCAAGAGACGCAGAAGAAAAGTGTGAAGCAAGACTTCAGTCCCATTCCTCCAGGTGTATAAAGTCTGCGCACCGAGCCATTCATGAAACAATGAGTCACACTAAAGAGCTCGTTGAATTCAAGCTTCGGTTTGTCAGATTTCTTCCCGCCTACATATCCCACAATTAACCGTGTTATTGTAGAGTGGAAGCTTTTACGACCCACAGAAGCTCAGCCACAAAGGAGCCTACTACACAAAGTTGCAGTGCGTGAAAGTGACAGACGCTCTGTTGACTCAAAAACTGCTTCAAACTTCCGTACACATTAACATCAGCGGCAAAACTGTGTGCCGGGAGCTTCATGGCATGGTTTCCATGGCCGAGCAGCTCCTGTAGATATGTGTAGGTATACATGCACGACAAAGCAGAACTCACACAGCACGTTGCTCAGAAAAGACGTCTGCATGTATGTGCATCATGAGGTCTCCTCCTGCCGTGTACTCCATGACAAAACACACATGTTCTGGCGTCTGGAAGCATGCAAACAGGTTGACCAGGAAGGGATGGTGGGAGCCGTTGACGATCTCAAAGATCCGCTTCTCACACATCAGACTGGAGACGGACAGACAGAGGAAAGGGGGAGGGACGGGGAAGGAAGGGGGATGCACATGAGACAATCATTGTGTAATTATGAGGTGAATGAGCTCTTGTCGTGCAGCAGAGATGTGGTTAAGGTGGTAAAGCACAGCTACCTCTCCACTTCATCACGCGCGACGATGTCTCCTTTCTTCAGGGCTTTGATGGCGTACTGGCTGCCTGTTTTTTTGTACTCCGATAGCAGCACCTGAAGAGTCCAACAAAAGCTTTCGTTAATCACTTCAGAGTTTTTGTTGAGTAACTCTCTGCTAATGGAAATGAACTGGAAAAAAGTAACAGAAGGCAGGTGTAATTCTGTAATTTTGTCTCTGTGATCAAAAAGCATATCTAATAAAGAACTCAGTACTCTCCCTCCTACCCAACCTGCCTCAGCCTGAAACCTAAAGCCTTTTTCTTTTCAATAAATATGAACTTGGAGCAACCCTGCATTTATTCAGGAGGTATTTTTGCAGTAAGTGTGAGTATTTAGGGAAGTATGTTAAAATAGCCTGTATTTGTATAGCGCTTTGGTGGTGGTGGTTTATTTGGTTGATCGCAGCTCTTTATGTGTTCCTTGGGCTTCTTTCGACAGTATGAATGGACAAGAATATCTTTGTACTCTGCAACTAAATTTGGAACGGCCTTGAACTATGTCCAGGCTGGCTGAGGAAATGCCAAAATGTTTTATCTTACAGACACATGAAACATAAACAGATTTCACTGACAATTCTTATGGGTAGTTATTTATTTACTAGTTTATATTCTCCCCGACTCAGCTCAGATTAGCAGGTAATTTTGTTTGTGGCTCCAAACACCTGTTGCCAATAAGGAAGTTACAAAGTGCCCCCTGGTGGACAAATAATGCAAAGTCAACACTCGTAAAACGGTTAAAGGGTGCTTCCCCCCATCTCTTCTATCATTTTTAAATGTTCATTTATCTGCTGTAATAAATGAAAACGTTCTCAGCTATTTACATCAACAGATCTTAGTTATTATAGATACAGATATATAGATGTATATAGCTAAGATCAGCTGATATACTGGTTAAGATTAGTAGATATGATCTGCCACTCACAAGTCGGTTGGATTCTGTGAAAAAGCCTAGAATTCAAAGCTCATAGGGGGTGTAATACCGAGATCTAATACCAAATGTATGATGGAAAGAATAAAACTGTTCAGTGTGCACGTTTCATCAATCAAACAGTTATTTCACATGCCCACTTGAATGAGGCCCACAGAGCTAAAACAGGCTAAAATGCTCCATGGAGCTGCATGGAGCTTGTGTTTACTGACAGGCTGCTAATATTAAAATACTTATTTACACAACTGATGTGTATTTTATCATTTTGAAAATGAAACACAGTACCTTCCCGAAGTGGCCCCTGCCGAGAACAGCGATCAGCTTGAAGTCCTGCAGGGAAAGAGGTCCTTTGCTGGGCCTGAGAGAGGGAAATTACTATTATACAGCAAATGCAATAAATGTCTTTCATAACGTTCAACAAAATCTGTTACATACACCAGAAACTCGCTTTTTTGTTCTGCGTTTTAGCGTCTAACACAGTAAAGCATGTCTTATTCTGGGGTGACATATGCAGTAATCCATATTAATGATGACTCAGCGTTAAAATCAGGTGTTAAAAAAAAGAGGTTACGAAATATGGCCATATTGTGTGAGGGGGTGTCTTCCTGGTGTCATGCTGTGCTGGCAATATTGCAAAAGACATGCTCAGGTGTGGGTTCAAGTGTGTGTGTGTGTGTGTGTGTGTGTGTGTGTGTGTGTGTGTGTGTGTGTGTGTGTGTGTGTGTGTGAGACAGAGAGAGATAAGGATCTTTGTCTATTTCTGCACCTGCTTAAAGAGTTGTGGGATTGTGATCTGATTGGCGTCTCCTGAACAGGGACTTCTGGTTTGGACGGAGGCTCAATGACCGGCGTCTGTTCCTGTGATAACAGGGGAGGGGAAATGTGAAACACCAGCATACTGAATGACAAGAGACACAGGGGGGAGATAATACCAATAAGGGAATACAGCAAAAAGAGGGCAAAATGATGGAGAACATCTGTAGAAGCAGACAATCAGTCAGTGATGCTCATCAAGCCGGATGGTCAGATCCCCCTGTTGGCCGACAGCCTCGCTCCTCCCCTCTCCCCTGTCTTCCTCGCTCCCCTCTCACTGCTAATTAGTTGTCTAAAAACATCAGAGTAATTAATCTCATAATACTTCAACCCCACTGAACACACCATCTGCCACGGGCCCCTCTGGGTCTCTCTCTGCTTGTCTAAATCTGTCTGTCTTCCTCCCTGGCCTCTTATATTTAAAGTCACACTAGCTCTGCTGGTATACAGTGTACTGACAAGCCATGTTGCATAAAGTGTATAATTTGGAATATTACATTTAGAATGCAAGGAATGAAATCACCAAATTAAAGCTTATATTTGAAAAGATGATATTTTGTCTCCTTGTTTAGTTCCTGTAATAATGTAATATTATTTTAAGGGATCATGGTGCTTTAGTAAAGACCCTACAATAAGACAGAGAAAACTCAGACGACACCCTATGAGCAAGCACTTGGTGACAGTGGGAAGGAAAAATCCCTTTTAACAGGAAGAACAGGAAGGGTGTTCCCATGATGCATTGAGTATTTCTTCTTCAGTCACCTTTCTCACTCACTATGTGTTAATCGACCTCTCTGCACTGAATCATACTTCTTATTAACCTCTGTCTCTCTTCCACAGCATGTCTTTATCCTGTTTTCCTTCTCTCACCCCAACCGTTCCCAGCAGCCGTCCCTCCCCTCCGTGATCCTGGTTGTGCCGGAGGTTTCTTCTTTTCCTTCCCACTGTCACCAAAGTGCTGCTCATAGGGGGCCATATGATTATTGGGTTTTTCTCTCTATGTATTATTGTAGGGTCTAGCCTACAAGATAAAGCGCCTCAGGATGACTGATGTTGTAATTTAGCGCTGTATAAATTAAATTAAATTTCTTTCACATGCTAAAATAACAGAAAAAGGTCTGGTAGCTCGTTGCCCAGACAGTCTTGTATTTTTAATAATGTCCCTTTTTTCTACAGTAGAACATTTCTACAGTAGATACAGCAGATACTGGAAAAAGAGGAAAGTTTTTGTCATTTAATTTTTAATCTACTCCTTATTTACTTTGGTATTTCATGAATGGTCGTGGAGGAGATCTTAATCAGTAGAAAAAGCTGCAAACTATAAATATATAGTTAAAAGTTCAAAATCTATGCACTCCTTTACTTTTTCCAAATCTTTCCAGTGGGCCGGATTAGAATCTCTGCCGGTCCAATTCTGTCCCCCGGGCCTTATGTTTGACATTAGCCTATTCACTTATGTGATGCAATTTTAAATAAATTAAATGATTTAATGTCTCTGGATTTAAACCAGAATAAACTGTGTATTTTTGATAATCGTCATAATCTTTAAAGCAGTTCCTGAAAATTCTTTTCCTTGTATTCTTACTAAACTGCATTGTTTTTAATAATAACTGTTTCCCTTTCATAAGTAAGTGAAAATGAAATAAGTTTAATTTTCAGGCTCAGTTGGTTCTTTGCTTCGCTGTCACAGTTCCTCTATTTTCCACCTCTCTATTCTTCACTCCCACACTATCACCCTCTGCAGACTGTGTTCTTCACACTGGGAAAATCACACAGATTTGGACTTGATCAAATTAAAGCTCCCCTCCATCCAATTATGTCTCATTAAAGCTGTCTCCCTGAGATTTCAGTTCTCCATTTGGCTAATTATTCATTCTTTCTGTTTCTGTCTCCGCTCAGGCCCCGGCTAGGCCGGTCTTAGATTTCACTGCAGCCCACAGGAAGGCAGCCTGTATGACAGGGAGCACTGTTTTCAAGACAGAGGCTGCAGGTAGGAAAACAGGAAAATGGTAACGTGATAGTATAAAGATGCCCATCTTTTCCCCCAAGAGAATCTCTGCATCTCACTCACCACGGGAGCAGGTGAGTCCACTACATCTGTCTTGACTTCAGGTTTTACCAGATGGTCAGTTTCCAGGTTTAGCTTCTCCACTGAGATTTCCCTGCAGAGTGCACAAAATAAAGAAAAAAGAAATCAAACGTTGTGGAGGCACAAATAAAAGCATTACTGTATTTTCTGCACTATAACCGCACTTAAAATTCTTTAACTTTCACAAAAATCGACAGTGTGCCTTATGTATGAATTCTGGTTGCGCTTACTGACGTCGGACCGATTTTATGTGGTACACGGCGCTCAAAAATCTGTCAAAAAATGTTTTAGCAGGACTTTGGTAAGCTATGAAGCTGCACCGCTTGATGGATTGTCGGAGCATTACGGCCACCGTAGTCAGGAGCCTCGCGGAGTAATCTGGGTCCAAAACTCCATCCGTTTCAGGTCCCAAAGTCAAATGAACACTGCGGCATCACTGAGAGTTAAAAACTGTCTAAATTCTTTCATCTTTAATAAAATCATCAGCGTTGCTGCTTTACCAGGTGTAACAATTAAGTTTAACATCCAGGCAGCCATGAAAACAGATGAACGCTAACTTTTTTCCACTCAATGAAAGCTCATGTGAGGTTTCCCGATGGTTAGGGACAAATGCAATCGCATAGCAGGATGCTGTAAACGGACCAAACTTCAGTCAGGAGAACAACTGAGATAATCCATCCACAATACTGCAACAACATGGGAATAGAGCAGCTGCGAGAAAATTCAACATTAATGAGTCAATGGTACGGAAGTGGAGGAAGCAAGAAGAAGAGTTGAGTAAAGTTTGACTTATCTGACTGTTTTGTTTTGCTTAATGCGCCTTATAATCCGGTGTGCCTTATGTATGAAAACAGACCCGTTCATCGACAGTGCGCCTTATAATCCGAAAAATACGGTATTTACTTTCTGGTAAAAAATGAAAATGAATACACCGCCAACAATAAACTCAACTTCAAGAATACCCGCTCAGGTGTAACTCACGCTGTCTAAATGATGCAATAATAACAATAATAATAATGACAATATAAAAATATAAATAATGGCAGACATTAAAAAGTTCTTTAAAGCTACATAAGATCCACCACCCATTAGCAACTGATCCAAAGTGGTCAGATATTGATTCCTTTAATCAGCTCTACACTGATCAATGACCACGACTTAAAATAAACATATCCTAAATTAATAACTGAAATGCATTAAGGCATACCATATGCATTTCAGTCCACCTGCAGACACATTAGTTACATACCCTGCACTGGTTGTGAGCGGGCTGCTTGTGAAACTGGGCGCGCTGCTTCCGCTCGGGATGACGTTCCTCAGCAGGCGGACCCAGGTAGCGATGTCCACGTTCATCTGACGGGCCCGCAGGAAAGCTTTACCTAAACGTACACATTGCCAAATGTGAAAAAGAAACTCTTCAGCTTCAGCTCAGCTGTCAAATGACGTGACCCTATTGCATGTGACTTTTTCATGTGAGTTTTTTTTTCTGCTCAGCTGTCAAATGACGTGACTCTATTGCATGTGACTTTTTCATGTGAGTTTTTTTTTCTTAATTTTTTACTGCTTTTAACTTGTACTTTCTGCTGTGATAAAAAAAAAAGATCCCACATGTGGGACTAAAAGAGGTTTATCTTACCTTATCTTTAGAATGTGCGTCTCGTAAATTAAACAGATGATATTATTTCAACTCCTGTGGTTTTATAAACAAAACTTCACATGCAGCAGGCTTGAAGCGAGTAAAATAATATCTTAATTTAGAATAACTGATGTATGTATCATTCAGCAATTCAGTTTATTTATACAGCACCAAATCACAACAACAACCACCTGAAGGTGCTTTGTAGTCTAAAGTAAAGACCCAACAATGATAAAGAGAAAACCCCAAGAAAGCCCAAACGAAGGAAAACTCCCTTTTAACAGGAAGAAACCTCAGCTGAACCAGGCTCAGGAAAGACTTTGCTGCGACCACAGGGACACAAAGGAGCTAGAGTTGCTCACCTTGCAAATAGTGGCCGATCCACTTTACCCACTAAGCTATACCAAATAATTTTTTAAGACATGCATCCCTTTTCCTTTTAACCCAACGACATCTGAATGTGTGAATGTGCAACCCGCTCAGACCTAACAACATGCAGTAATGATCACTTTCAACATGGCACAAGTGAGAAAGTCACTCAGAGTCACTGAGGGGAAATTACAGTTGTGCACTTGTCTCTCCGACATGCTGAGTTGTCAGCTTAGCTAACAATAACTTTTTAAACAGGGGAAAAACCTGCCATGTGACACACTCATTTTAAGCCTCCGACTAATCTGACAACATGCTCAAAGTTTTCCTCTTTGTGTTCAAAAAGGCTTTTGAACTAAAAAAAAAAAAATTCAGAGAGAGCAAAACAGACAGTTTAAAGTTTTTGTTGGAGGTACATACAGACCTCTCCAACACCTCCTCTCATGCTCATGTCAAATTTTGAAGCATAAAATCTTCACCACTGCTCACCAGTGCTGGCAATAATCCCAGTTAACACTAATAGGAGCTGCTTCAGGAAGCTTTTTGTTGTGCTTTTATTACAATTCTGCAGCATCAGATGACAGAAACCTCTCATTATCTTCTCCAGAGTGAAAGGGCTGCACACATTTGCATGCAACGCAGAAAAACATTATTAATTACCAAAAATTAATTATCCCCGACTTGCTGACAATGTCTAACAGCAAATGACACCAAGATCTTTACTTCACAAAGATGATCTCTAACCTTTTTTATTTTGCCAAGACAGTTATGGATGTATCCCTATAACCTCTCTAATTATTAAGGCAGCTCCAAAAAACAGCTGCAGTTAAGAAAACTCTGACCTCGTGCATTATGCATCACTTGGTGTACTTTCCATCAGTGTGTTCTGAGTACGTCTGAATGAAGCCGTGAGGAGCAATCATGCAAAACGGGTCCATGTCTGAATGACAGATCGCAGTCACAGACCGATAAAGCCAGCGGTGGTGACTTAACACACACACGCTTCTCATTCTTTTGTTCACTGGTGGATTCAAGTCTCTTTTTCCACAAGTAGATGGCGCTGCAGAGCACGTACACGTTTGATCCGCTTGTCAAAAAAAATGTGAAACAAGAAAAGCAGCAAGCTGGGAAAAAGATTTTAAAGTCCAAACGTGGATATAAAAAGGTTGTGTGTGAACACTGGAGCATACCGTGCTGCTTAGAAAAGACTTTCTTCTGCCTCTGGAGTCTTCGGCCTCTCTCTATGACTGGATTGAAGAAGGTCACCTGAAACATGCACAGTTACACGTTACAACTCTAGTCTGCGCCTGAGGTAAAAAAAACACAGCGACTGTGTTTTTTAGGTACTTTTGTGTTTTAGTGTTTGCAGGCAAATATGAATGATGAGGAGGTTCTGATGAGACTAAAAGGGAGCTGTAATGTTCACGCATGTGTCTGCCCAGTACCTCAGCCAGCAGCAGCCCCTGTGGCTCCAGTTCCAGCTGGACTTGATGTCTTTGGTTGTCCAGGAAATCCTCCAGCTTCAGGTACTTCAGAGCACACAGGGAGCGATAATCTCTCCAGTACACAGCGATCTCCATCTCCCTGGACTAATCACAAAACACGAACATTCGATTGCTTCGATACATTAAAAAAAAACAAGTCCGCAGTTCTGCTTCAGGGAAACCGTGAGAAACAGGATCTAAGCTCATGCTTGGTTATCGCTATAGGAACGACATTTGCAGCTCAGTGACAGTGTAAACATTTAACAGGCAGTTTCTTCATCGTGGTTGTGCACTGTGAATTTGCTCCCAGATTCAGGCTGTCAATGCAGAACAACACAATCTTCTTCACTATCTTCCTAACGCCCCTCTGCTCGCCAGATTTGCCTTTCTGTGACTTGGACAACTCCCTCCTCCCCACCAGAATGTAAATCTGGTTGAATGATCATAATTTTGACACACTGGAGGAGATCCAGTGGGCGTTACAGAGGCACAAGGACGAAGAGGGCAAGACTTCCAGGGAGAGATTTATATATAGCAGCTGTGCTGAAAATCGTCCAGTAGTGCACTAGAACAGCGGCCCCCAACCTTTTTTGCGCCACGGACCGGTTTATGCCCGACAATGTTTTCACGGACCGGCCTTTAAGGTGTCGCAGATAAATACAACAAAATAAAACTAGTACCGGTACCGAAAAAAAGAAGATTTATTTATAACACAAGTGAAAAGACCCAGGAAAACCAAGTAAACGATAAAAACGATAACAAAATAACGCTGAAAACTGATAAAAACCCTGAACACCATACATTTCACACCTGAGCCTCAACTGTTGCGGCCCGGTACCAAACGACTCACGGACCGGTACCGGTCCGAGGCCCGGGGGTTGGGGACCGCTGCGCTAGAAGATGATACTGAAGGGGAAATGTGTGAATTTAAACCAAGTAAGGAATTGGAAACAAATCCAAGTGAAAAGAAACAAAACAAAATCTCTGCTCTACTTTAAAATGAAGGTATTTATCTGGGTAACAACCCATCAAATGCACTGTAGCTAATGTAAAAGCCCATGGAAAGCACTGCTTGACAGCTTAGGCCAGAACCACAGTATTTCTGTGACAGTGTAACAGATTGAGAGTGTGCTTTGTCGTACTCTTTCCAGCTCTAAAGTGAAGGTCTGGTCCCAGGCCTGCTCTCCAACTGTTCTCCAAGCTGTCTGACCCACCACTGTGTTCTCCAGCTTCAGCACGGCACTCACTTCCGCTGTTAAAGATACACAAACACTAAGTAAAAATGTCGACTGCCAACCGGGGGCTGCATTTTATTAAATTATAAGCCTCAAGTGTCAATTTGTTTTAGTTACTACAGTCATCTAGAGCTTAATTCAATGGGAAAAAAAGACCAGGAACACTTACACGAGAGGTCCTCGTTCTTACTGGGGATCTTGAGGCTCATGCTGCTGGTGCTCCGGCTGTAGAGGCCGCTCAGTTTGAATGAGGAGCGTCCATCTGGTGTGGAGTAAGAAGGCAGAACGACAGGGGTCCCTCTATTTCTCCCTGGGACGACCTCCAGCAGTCCCACACAGCCCAGAAGACGAACCTGAAGACTGCCTGGAAAGAAAAGGCAAAGAGGAATTAACCTTACGTTTTTGAATAATAAACTCTGACTGAATATGCTGAAAGCTGTTTTATTCTCCTATTTATTCTGTCTACCTGTAAGGGGTGATGGTTTGATCAGGGTGCTGTACTGGTTATGGACATATGGGGTGCTGTGACGGGAGCTGAAAGCTGAGGAGGAGGCCAGCACTAGCTCCTCTTTGATGAGGCAGGCTTTGGGATGATCCTCAGGCAGCTCCAGCAGTCTTTGTTCCAGAGAGCATCGGAGCAGGTCCAGACGCTGGGACGAGCCGCTCAAACCACACTGAGCCTGCGGAGCGCAGAAAGAATACAAAGCTGTGAGACTGGAGACAGATTTCAGATTCTTTTTAACATACTGTCCTGTGCTAACGTCTTTCTTGTAAATGGTGAAAGTCTTGTCCTTAAAAAACCGGAAAAATCCAGCAAAGACCTGAACCAGGACCTGAGAGATTAACAGGTCTGTGGGTCAAATGGGCTTTTGGCTGAACCGTCAACTGTTCACTGAAGCCTCATAAGAAATGGTTTCACTGGATGCTTCAATAAACTGCTGCATCCACTTCCTATTTTTCTTGCAAAATGAGGAGGCTAAACTGACATTATTTAGCAATGCTTAAAGGAAAAAAAAGTCAGAATTAGAAAATGTAACCAAATCTCTTTGAAATGACTACTCTGGATTATGTGGATGTGTCTGCACCAATAAAAGTACAGGTTTTTGCTTCTGCCTTTTCCAAAGAAACACTGACACTTTAAGGATTGGCTCAGTATTTAGGAACAAATGTTATGACTCTTTCACTTTCTTTCAAAGAGATACGTGACTGATATCACCACAAAGGTACAGCTAGTAATTGGTTAGCATTGTTGGACTAACATATGAGACTGGTAATTGTGAGAAGCAGCTAGCTGGATCTGTTTAACGGTAACAACATACAGCACAGAACTCAGCATTTTCTATTCCATCTACCCAAAGGAGAGACGCAAATGCAACTTTTTAGGGTTTAAAACAGATCATACTGCCAGGACTGTAGATCTCTGACCCAGATAAAGTTCAACCATCTCCTCTCTGACCTCAGCAATGGCCTTCTTATCTTGGACCTTTCCCGCACCCAGCAGTCGCATCATGTTCTTGGCTCCCTCAGCCATGGCGTGCTCCACACGGTAGTGATGCCACAGCTCCTCCACACGCAGCTCCGCCCCACACAGGTCCGGCTTACCTGGGACAAGGTGTGAACAGCACACAACATGAACAAAGGGCAAAAATGACTAAATATGACATAGAAACAGAAAGTGTAACGAGGCTTTTTTCCAACGATGCACTGGATCCTTTGTTTCCATTTGCTCATAAATATAACCTTAAACACTGTGAGAGTTCCACACAAATCAAAATTTGCAGGAGAAATCTAATTAAAGACATAAAACAAACAAAAGATGTTTTACACTTGGTCACCCCAGGCTTAAACCTCTGTGGTGGGGTTTTAAAGAACAGGCTGTTGATCCTCATCAAGCTGGAGACGGTTACAGAAGCATATCTCACGAATTTGATCCTCACCAGTCAGATGTAAGAATGTGTGTAAGAGCACTGTAACTCTCCACAATCTGCAAACCGGTCAGTTAGCAATGATTAGCTAATTAGCCGGGAGTGTTAAGGCCTGGGTAGCTTCCAAGAGGATAAAAGACATCTGTCATGTTTATGAGGCCACCATCATCATCACTGAACACGAACAGCGTGCATTGCAGGTCTGCAAGCACAAAGCACTACTCTCATTAAGGAACCATGCTAGCTTGCTTGAATGAAGGCTAAATGATCTTTAGATCATTTGATCTGCAGCTCATTTAGATGAAGGCTGTTTAAACAATGCTGTGTGGATGAATGAGAGCAAAATGGATTTCTCAGCCAGTAAGACAACAATCTCTAAACACACAAGTTGCTCTACTAAAGTTTGCTTAAAGTCCTGACCTTAATCCCACAAAACTACTGTGGAAATATCTGAGGTGAAAGGCTCATGAGATTGCAGATACCCCCCACAGACACGTAACATTTGATAATTTTGTCTCATGTGTCACAGCGGTACAGAAAGGTTTTCCAAGAGAAAGGTTCTGTAGTATCGTAGTACTCATTTGACATTGTGTTTTTGTCTGCCTCATTTAAAGCCTCTTTTATCTCTGGTTGAGGTCGCTGCCGACTTGTGGAGAAACATCTGACTCATTTCTGGCGCCAGTAAACGCTCCACCGTGTCAGCTAGCTCGTCTGACACGCTGGGTACATTGTGCGCAGGTCCTTGTGAGTGAGCGTGTAAAATAAACATTAAAGCTTAAATGCAAAGACTTCCACGGAGCTGAGAGGAACTGGAAAGTTGGGTAATACCCTCAAGAGTGACTGCATTTATGCACCAACAGTCATGTGATCCGCGTTAACATAAAAATGGCAAACTTGGCAGTTTTAAAAAAAGCTGAAGAAGCAACACGCTGGAAGAAAAGTGGCACAGACCAAAACAAAAAACATCTCCCCAATCGAAGTGTGTGTCTTTAAGTCAGCGAGCTTGGTGTCCTATCTAGCGTCGCTGCTGATCTGAGCTTTGTTTTATCCTGCCTGCTTATTCTCTTTCATCTCTCACTCCTTCCTTCCCAGCGCTTCGCTCTGTTGTCATCTCTGACTCAGTCCTTTCAGGCTCACTCCCTTCCTGGCTCCCCGCATCTGCCCGGCCTGCTCTCTAACCTCTGTTAAATGAGCCATGGCTTTTAGTTGTTGGGCAACATCAAGGGGATGCAGGAACATCAATAAGACTCTAACCTGAGAGAGTGAGGGGGCTGTAATGGACACTGCGCTTGTGTGTGTGCGCGTATGAGTGTGTGTTTTTGACTGGAAGACTATACGCTGTGAAGTTCTGAACCAAGAATTGATCCGCCCGCATCATAAAATATGCAGTGTTTATAAGCTGAAAGACTGACAGGTGGAGTAAAGGAGGAACTGAAAGATGAGACAAAAGCACGATAGGTACTTTGGTTGTCCTCAGACTGCTCCGTTGCCTGCATGGCCTTTCGGATCTGCATGCGGATGATGTCGATCTTTGTCTTGCTGTCCTGCAGCATCTGCTGAGCAGTCTGGAGAAGCTTCTTGTCCTGAAAAGTGACAAGAGATCATGTCACAGGTTGAACACCGGAAGGTGCAGGTGACAGTAAACATAGTGAGTAAGACTTTTTGCTGGTGGTTGTGCTAGTTCAGTTACCTTGGTACCGCCACTGGAATATATTGGAATCATGTTCTCTGCTCCCTGTTTGACTTTCAGCTCAATGTTCAGCTGCCGCTCCAAAGCAGCTATGCGGTGCTGATTGGTGGACGTCTGGTTGACGGGTCCTGGAGACTTATTTGAATCTGGTAACAGAAAGAGAGTCGGCTTAGGAGGTCAGGTTGCTTCTGATGCAGTCTTTCAAACATCACTTTTGTCAAATGGTCGGACATGAAGCTAAAAACTGTGTGTAGGTTTTCTTTTGGTTGTTTGTTTTTTACTTGTTTTACTCCATAAAAGGCCAACACACAAGACATTTATATGTTTTTACATATTTCCTGCCTAAGGAGGCATCAGGTTTCAGTTACAAGTGAGTAAAGTTTATATATAAAGACACTTTCAGATCGGTATTTTCCATCCATCCATCTTCTTCCGCTTATCCGGGGCCGGGTCGTGGGGACAGCAGCCTAAGCAGACAAGCCCAGACCTTCCTCTCCCGGTCTACTCCTCTAGCTTGTCCGGGGATAACACCAAGGTGTTCCCAGGCCAGCAGAGAGATATAATCCCTCCAGCGTGTCCTGGGTCTCCCCCGGGGCCTCCTCCAGGTGGGACATACACCTCACCCAGGAGGCGCCCAGTAGGCATCCTTGTCAGATGCCCGAACCACCTTTCCTGGCTCCTTCCAATGTTTTATGAAGCATAAATCTAGTAGCAGGAATCAGCTAAAGCTAACAGACTTTTTTTTAATTCCTGACTTTTTTTTAGGAAAAAAAACCTAAAGCTGAGTAATGCACCTTATAGCTGAAACGGTGCATTACTCAGGCTTATGTTATCATCACATCATAACTACAGTTCTGGAGCTCGATTAAGGTGTTGTTCATTTCTTAGTTTAGTTTCACAACTGTTTTATAATCGTTAGGCACCATGTGGAAATATGAGTATGGAAAGGTGCTGATTTGATAAAACAGGAATGGAACCCCTGGTGCCAAACAATTTACCTGCTAAACATTAGCACTGATACTATGAGCATGTTGGTATGTTAAAGCATTTAACTCAAAGCTCCAGCGTGCCTTATTAACATCTCAGTGTTATCTAAAAGGAGGAAACACAAAAAGGCCTCCAGCAGCACAGGCAACATGTGATGTATGCTCCAAATCAGATACAGTAAAGCACTGTACCTTTGTTTTCTTCATGGCCTTTGACCACAATGTGAGCATCCAGCTCTTGGAGCTGAGCCTGGAGTGACTCAAGCTTCCGCTTGGAGCTGCGGAGCTGTGAGTCCACCTGCTGGGCATTCCTCTTGTCGGTAGTGGCCCTGCGCAGATTCTCTGCACCCTCCTTGATCTTCAGCTCCTTGCGGATCTCTCTGCGGATCTTCTCGCGGTGCTCATCCAGCCGCTGCTGCACACTGGAGTCTGAAAAGTCTGAGTTTTGGTCCAGACCGAGCTGCTGGAGCACTGACAGCCTGTCTGTGTCACTCTGAAAAAGGGGAAAAAAAGGAGATGGTTGTTATTGTTAAAGAGCCTAAAGAGAAGGGAAAGGTGATTTCCCACAAGAACATGAAAAAAAGGTTCTATATTTAGGTTGCTGTTTATGAGAAGGATTATTCAGTTTGACCTAAGAAACTGATTTGCAGGGTGACGGAGCAAAGCTGAGGTTATGACAGTAAAAGCTGGAAACAGTCACCCTGCACATATTTGACAAAATGAAGCACTGCAGGATAAAAGGAGAGAAAAACTGTACGTCTGTGAGAGAATCGTCAACATTTGACACCTGCCAAGCTGACGTGGTGAAGCAGCATCAAAGCAGAGGCAGCACTTAAGTGTGTAAAGAGCTGAGTGCTCACATCAGCTCTCCTGCTGATCAACACTAACCAGATTACAGAAGATTAGAACAGCAACAATGCAAACTAAAATCAATCAGGGTCTCCTTCTGGATTGGTCACTAGTAAGCAAACATAATAGTAAGCATACATGAGATGCAATATTTAGTAGAGGAGAAAACAGAATATCACCAGATGCACAAGAGTTTAATTTGAGCTTATTTCCAGCATCATTTTTTTTTCTTGGTCGCTAATAAAACAGTTTTACATGATTAACAGTTAATAATCATCCTTATTTTTCTTATACTGGACCTTGGTGCAGCCCAGCAGTTAATCCTATGTCAGAAACAAGCTTTTTTCTGCAAGCCAACTTTCTGTGTGTTTCAAACAGAAAGTCTGAACAAAAGGTGGACGGACTGTGTTGATCAGAAGAGAATACAATAAGATGTAAAAGAAAGGAGGAAGATCAGGGGTGTCCAACTCCAGGCCTCAAGGGCTGGTGTCCTGCAGGTTTTAGATATCACCTTGGGTCAACACACCTGACTCAAATGATTAGTTCATTACCAGGCCTCTGCAGAACTTCAAGACATGTTGAAGAGGTAGTTTAGCCATTTAAATCAGCTGTGTTGGATCAAGGACACATCTAAAACCTGCAGGACTGGAGTTGGACCCTCCTGTGTTACACGTTACATTAGCAGCTAATGCTAACAAGCTTGGTTACCAAACTGCATCCATAGATTATGCGTGAGCAATACACAATCAGATACCTGCTAATATTAGCTAGGAATAGTACAAAGTAACAGTTTCACTCACAAAATCAAACTAAAAACTTCTTGAATGGACTGTACAATTAACCACGCAGGAATTTAGACTGACGTTTTGCAGATATGTGATTGCTAGCCATCTGACATTAACTCTTCTGCCATTCTGGATGTTTGACAACCATGATGGCAATGTAGGGTCACGTGATTAAGACCTTGAGACCAGTCAGTAACCATTTGGCAACCAGTCGTAAGGGGAAAATGAATATTCCAACAACCAGTTGCTGAGTGTTTGCAGGACCTTGATGGGAAATCCTTTGCTAAAGCCTCAGGAAAACAGATATAGAGAGCAGTCAGTGACCTCCTGACAACCACTGGTAACTAGGGAAAACTGTGTATCTCCAACCAGCTGTGATTGCTTTGATCGGTAGCAGACTGCTGTGGTCACTCACAGTTTGAACACACTAACTTTTCTACAAGCACTTACCAGCTATTCTCCAAGCAGTAGTGAAACTGTGAAAAGTGTGACACAAAACGGAAACGGAAAATGTTTGCTGGCACAGTAAAAGATGCACCTTCCAGTACTGGCTGCACAATTGTTACTTAGAAGACAAATATTCTCCATTTCTGGTTTGTGTCACAGTTTCTCAAGTAACTGTGTTTCTCTCAGTTTCTCTCAGCAAGTATTTGCAGTCATGTTGACAACTTCTATCCAAACTGCTGGCAACCATGCCAATCTGATACTGACCAAGGCAATCATAAGGATGCTTTTGGTGGAGGACCCTCTTTGTGACCAATTTCATCTAGTGATAACTAGCAGCCTCAAGGACACATTCGCCAATCAGTTAAGAAATACATATTTTTACCTCAAAATATCATGTCCAGTATGGTAAGCAACTCGTGTGCACGATGTCACGTGAGAAATCTCTACTATTTTTAACATAATTTTGTTAAAGCTGTTCCGAAAGGCAACAACAGCTATGGGTGACACTGAGTTTTACTAAAAAACCCTGCAGACAGACAGGCACACAGCCCTAACTCTAGCTAGCAGCTGAACACATAGCTGTAGTAGATGTTCACAGCACAGAACAACACTCTATGAGGAGGTCAATAAAGCTAAAGCTTAAGTTGCTTAAAACAACTTTTAAACAACCCAGAAATATTAAACAGTTATCATAAACGTTTACCTGGCTGCCACAAATGTTCTCATTAGCTTTTTAACTCTTAGCAAATACCCGGTACCACGTTAGCCGCTAAGTTACGATTAACCTAGTGGCTATGGCTAAAATGAAAAGCTAGCTAAGAGCTAGGCAACAAATATTATCAGGCCTGCACATCTGTAATGTTAACAGACAGCCTTAATTTAACAAGGTGGCTGTAATGTATGAGTTACCAATAATAATAATAATTTGCAGCTAACTGGCTATACAGATTTAAAAGAATTTCTAGCAGGCATTTCTATTTCTTCCACCAAAGTAAACCTATAAAAATGCTTATTTCATTACTGAAGTTGGACATTTTAACATGGGAGCTTAACATAGGCATTGTTCATTTAAAAAACATATACGCTTGACAGAAAATAAGGGAAAGCATGATTAACCTGCTCTTTTAAATTATGTGCATGGATTAATTTAAAAGTTGTTAACAACAGCTGTATCAGTTGTTACAGGCTACACCTTCATAAACGCGGCTCCAAAGAAGAGTTTGACCTCTGCCTTTAAACTGATTTAAGCCGGTTGATTTCTCTCATATTTCGAACTCAGTATGATGATGATGAACAGGCGACTGGAAGTTAACTGGAGACAGCAGGCGAGAGTCATTTGATGGGGAAGAACTTCTATGTGTACCAACGGCTGAGCATGGAAGGTAGACAGAAGGAACCTGTGAATCCGTGGAGCTAAACCTTTATGGCAGCAGATGGGAATGGGCACTGATGCATCCACAGTAGACTTTAAAAATAGGAGAAGTTGGCTGGAAAAAAGTTCAGAGATACTAACTGAACCCTCTTCTGCCAACATGAAGAAAGCGGAAAGTAAGCATTTAAAGGCATACAACAGGAAGTGAAGCGTTTTGTGGTGTGGCTCCGCTCCTGAACGTCAGATAATCTCCAGCAAACTCAAACTACAGGAAACGTCTTTGGCAATTTGGTCAAATTTGTCAATGCAACCATCATGAGATAACCATCATTATCTTACCCTTTATAGATGCAGCCCATAAAACCAAATAAAACCTGATGACACTAAAAATGAAACAAAACATTTTTAAACAGCAAAACCGAGATAAAACTAAGTGAATTCTTTAAAAACTGTTGTAACATCTGAGGGCTCTCAGCTCCACTGTGCTGGAGTTAAAAGACGAGCTGCTCAGGGCCTTTCCCTGCACTGTGCAGCCAGCTATCCAGCTTAGCAGATCTGATTACAGCCGCTTAGGTCTCCGTGTCCATCCAGCCACACACAGGCTACGGCTACAGCACTGTTCTCATTAGGCCATAATCCATCGGCAACACAATGCACGACAACCAAACCACATGGCACAGGCCGAGGGCTTGTGGGATTTTAACTGCAGATTTAATGCAATGTTACGTCACTGCACAGCTCTGAAGCAATCAAACTGAGCGTGTCTCACTTGTTGTTGAAAAAGGTCAACTATGTTATCTTGCTTGGTCTAGAAGAACAACAGACGCACTATTTTTATACACGTATACAGAAGTAGGCATGTACGATGGATGCATACTGCTGTATATTATTAACATCGCTGATGATGTGGCAGACCTGAACAGCATGAGCGCGCCAGCAGCGGCCATTCATGGCAGAAAAGAAAGCGGAGCAACCATGAACTGCAGGAAGGGAGAGTTTGCACTCTGACGTAGTCCTGCTCGACACAATACAACTTAATCCCTGGTGTTTTACAACAAAGAACCTCTGGAGTGAGGTATAAGACAAATCAGGCAGCAGGGTGAAATCACAACAGTGGACAGCAGTCAAAATTCACAAGTGATTCGCTGTGAGACAGTAGATGTTTTTACAGGAAATGAACGAGGAAACTGACAGAAAAGAGAAGGGCCACAGTAACGCAGGGAAAGAAAGCGGCGGTGTTGAGGCCTGCTCCGGCCACAGTGGCCTACCGAAGACTCTGGATCACCCTGCTCGGGGCTATCAATCAACTGATCCCGTGGCAGGTCTTCCAATGCACAGTCCTCACTGGCCATCTTTGGCCTCCCTCCGGCTTTGCTCTTGGGCCACCACACACACACACATACACACACCCAGCACTGACAGCAGCACCAATCAGACAACACAAAGTCCTACTCCTGCCTCCCCCAAATCCAGGATGTCCTTCCCGCCAGGAATCAAAAGCCAGGCTAAATCTGGAGCGAGTGAACAAGGTGGAGGAGAGGAAGAAAGAACGGCATAGACCGAGCCCCACCTCGCTGCTTCCTGTTCTGCTCTTTGCCAGATAGAGACTGAGGCGTCATGCACTCTGTACACACACACACATTTAAGTGGTTTTGTAACTGAGAGAGCTCACAGTCACTCTGCTTCCTGCTACCGAGTCCCCATAGCTGAGAGACAGGCTGTTGTGATAGAGTCTACTACCAAAGCAAGTTCTTGTGTATTTTTGGCATATTCGTGAATATGGAACTATGATACACACACAGATTTTATGCATCCAGGTCAGAATTTCTGCATAGATAATAAGACACTGTCAGAAAAAGAGTTGGATTAAGAAAATAAACCTCTAAGTGAGTAGGGATGTGTCAAAGGACAAGCTGATGGATCTGCATTCCCTGGGATAAAGGCTGAAGCAAACAAACTCTTCTCACTTGAACACTAAGCCATGGATATTAAAAACCTGTGCACGGAGATGGACTTTGCCTGCAAGTCTATTTGAAGATG